GTATGGGATTGCTTAGGTGGGTGGTGAGATGATTGTTGAGAGGGCCGCGAGATAAGTTTGGCTGGGAATGATATTCCAGAGAAAAAGAAAATGGATCTTGAAGGTGTCGGTTGTTGTAATGCGAGCATCAGACATGTTATAGCCTGTCTGTGGTTCGTATCTGGAGTGTAGATGGTTGATTTCGTTGAACTGTGCAGTCGTGAAATCTATGCAAGTCGGATTTTCGACCAAAAATGAGCCAACACCACTCCTATCGATCGCCAGCTCGACGAAAACTCTCAAATTCACCCTTTGTCGTAATTGAATCTATCTCGGTGTTCTCAATCTAGGGATTCTCGTTCAAATGACCCGTCTCCAACGAGTCTCTGTTAGTGAGAGCTTCGAGGACGGCTGTCTTGTTAGGTTGGAGTCGCAATTTTTCACGATTTTGGGTGCACCACAAACAATTGGCTTCAGGGGCATGAGTAATCCACTAGCTTTCTTCCGCGTCCCTTGAGGCATTCTAAATTGTGTGGTTATCATAATGAAGTTGTGACTGATCTCGTGAAAGAAATAATAAAGATGGTGCCTTGTTGTGGTATACAATACGTAGGTTTTCCAGTTTACTTCGAGTTGGGAAAGCAAATTATTAACCCTACCTACTGTATGGGAGTGTCATTAGGTCAAGTGTAAAGGCCCGTAACTTCCCGCTCCTGAGAGAGATAAATGTTTATTGAACCACATGAGTCTATGACTATCTAGCACATTGAACTGCTCTCTGGCCAAGGCCACACCTTGTACAGTGCTCCTTGCCTCTCTGATTACTTGAAATATCATTGATATATTGCCCCTGATCAATATCTATTCAGCTCAGTATTTACACGTGGAATTGGGCAACCTTTTCCGGGCAACCTTCTACCCAAAAATATCAAGGAAACCCCGAATTAGAATGAAAAAGAAAAGTTGTTTTTAAATAGCTATCCTCCATAGTTAGAAACTCATATGGGACATAAATGGATTACATTAAATTAAATTCTACCCAAAAATAAAACAATATGGTAAGTGTAGAAACTGCGTGCGCGGGAAAAAGTCTCAAAAAACCTACTTCCCCACCTAGGCGAGGCCTAGACACCGAGACCGCATGAGGCGCACATATTTATCTAAATCTCGCTTCTTTTTTACACTGAAGGCCAACTTGATCCAATCCACCATCTCCGTGTCGGGTGCCGAGTACGCTCCGGAAACACTTCGGACGGCTTCTGTCGCCGGATCAATTGGTGTTGGTATACAGCAGAGCGAGTCCAGAATAAATCAGTTAATTGATGAGATGTAGAGAGAATATATCTTAATTCTCGCTCTATGCATAGGGAATTGTGATTATCAGCGCCGATCATTACAATCTATGTTGCTAAGCAACCACATCCAGTGGGTTGGATGGTGCAGTGGTACACCATCCGGGCCGTTCTCCCAAGTAGATACTGGGTAGCTTGAACACCTACCCCATTCGAGACAAAAGAAAGCTGGTTCGAATCCAGTCATACCCACATCACACTCTCTCTCGCGGTGATATTGTACTTGTGGAATGATGAGAGCACACTCGGATAGCCACAGGTTTTTCACGCTTTTCCCTGTGGTGGGTATGCACGGAAGAGGTTGTACGCCATAAGGGTTAACCTCGAGTGGTATCTGCAAATGAAATCTGAGTGTGAGTGTTCTAATCATCAAATTGAGTCATCCTACGTAAAGTAAATATCTTCCGATAAAAACCTGCATGGGCCTCAAGGCGCCAAATCAGGAAAAATGAATAATATATATAAATAACCACATCTAGACCGCAAAAAGGAACCCTGATCATAAACATTGTATTATAATTTGACATGTGTACCCCATTCTTTATGCATAATGCACACTAAGCTACAAATCTGTATATACTAGACACATCCTGTGATTTTAGAAGACAGTCATACACCGTCTTAAGATATCACTATATAGAAGATATAGCTGAAATCCAGAGTCACTGTTGACCTACGATTTTCGTATATCCAAATTTTACCACCGTATCATCCTAGGAACTTATAACCTCAGCAACATTGGTAGCCTCTGTAGCTGGCTAGGCCCTATATTCCATCCCTGTCGTCCTGGCGCAGACAGTACAAACACAAATGATTAATCCTGTAACAGCTTTTCCTGCATGGCCAAGAAAGGTGAGTGAATACTGAGTATGACTTCTATCAAGCAAGGAGAAAATCCATGACACCTGTATTTCTTAAACACCGTCTCATGATTCATAGTCATGGCTTGAGAAGGAAGGCAACTCTTGTAGGCAACTATCGCGTTGGTGGTGTAAGTTGACGCTGGGGATCTAACATTACGAGACGGAACGAGGTATATACAGTAGGCAGGTATGCACGTGCCAAGTGGAACGTGGCATGTGAGACCGGCGGTGAAGCCAACGGCCGTAACTTTCATCTATATTATATTCATCTAATATTATTGCGATGCAATTGTCAGAGTAAAATGCCAAACTAGTAACCAACTGACATGGCATCTGCATCTACACCGTGAAAACATTAGCGTCTCGAGTGATTTCCTGCTAGGAAGTACTGGCTTTCTTCGCAATAGACATGTTGGACTAGTATAGACTTGTTTTAGCATGCCACTTGGCTACAACATGGTTGGATTTTGCCTTGTCATACTAGAATTATATCTAGATATGATCATTTCTTGTTGGAAATTAGATTAATGTATGCTAGAAGATGTAAGAGTGAGAGTAGAATGAGACACGAGATGGAACAGACAATTATATCTTTTAATACACATGTCAATTAAAAGCCCCTGTACGAGCTTTTCTTTCAGAAACCTCCATCCTCAATCATTAAAGCTTCTGAGCCAGCTCAAAAGCTTCGAAAACTTTGTCTCTACAATCTGTTTACGGGATTATATGGGGATTCTCATCGGATTACCTTCAAGCCCCCTTGTACATGTTATATTTGTTCCGACTTTTAAACTTTGGAGTGCTTGGTTGGATTACCGGATAATTTTAGGTAGAAAGTATCCTGGAGGAAAAGTTAAGACGATAAAGATTGTTGGTTTCTTGAAAGAAGAGTGAGATGTTTTTGGACCTGTCTATAGTTCGTGTTTTTTGTCAGGATTTATCCAGAGTATTATATTTCTGATCATGTAATGCATAAATGTAAACCCCTCGCCGATATTGCTGGATGGAAGAGAGATAGGCCAAGGAATAAAGGAAGAAGAATTTGAAATTACAGCAAACAGTTCAGTCGAGAAATCTACATCTCTCTACATTTTCTTCTGACTTTATGAATGGTTAGAATAGAGGAATCCTTCTTAAGCTGTTAGTAAAACGCAGTTTAGATATTCAGGGGGACCGGGGCTCATGTGTTTAATTTTGACAATGCATGTAGAATGTCACGCTTCTCCTAGACAAAATTTTTCAGATGATGCGCGTCGCGTCATACTGATTCTGTTCTGCATCAAACAATTAAATTGCACATCATAAAGAAGGGTAGCTTGATGGAATTTATCCCCTACATCTTGTGGTTGTGGTCGAGCCACTCGTACAGACATTTGTGCTAGCTAGATGCTACATCGCACATACATTTCCCCTAGACCCTACCTATTTATCAAATTTCTTGAGTGAGGTGCAAACAATTTTTTGATCCGAGTGGCCTGTAATAAATGATTGATTAACCAAGTTCCAACGCTTAACGGTGCTCAGCTCTATCCAGCTAGGTTTTACTCGTACGTACGGCACAAAAAAAGTTCAATAGTTGCCGGTTTCCTTGGACCTCGACGATTAAGCCATCTTCAAATCCACGTCGATCTTGGAAAGCTAGTTTGACTTTTGTATGGTGACTGCTTTCGGTTGAGTCTATTATGATATTGTGAGAGACCTACGCCTAGTATCTTTTACGAGTTTTCAAGCTTCTCACAAATCTGAAAATGGCCTTGGTTATGGTGGTTGAGGAGATGAGATAATGGAGGCCGAAAGATTAATCGAAAAGCATCCCCACATGAGGACTTGTGAGGGTGATAGTGTTGGAAGTAACTGTGTAGAAAAAAGGCGAGCATACATACTACCAGAGCTAAGTATATCCCTGATCTACAGCTGAAGATGTCCTATATATTCCTATCTGGTTTAAGACTTCATCGAAAAATGATGTATCAATAACATAAATGAAATAAAAAAGTTTTGTTGTCTTGATGCTATATTTATACAGCCTCGATAAGCAAATTTTCAGTAAATTGCAAGCTTACTGGCATGCCACTTTCTTTGAAAGATGTATAGCAACCTCGATGTGCGCGTCGACACTGGCATGCTGTTTTGATTGACATCAACATGGGACCGTCGTTTTATAATCAGAGTTATTACATCAATGCTCTTGAGTTTCCTGGAATCATTGTTTTATGCGATATATGGTTGCATAATTTCTTTAAATTATTATTCGGTAAGCTGGACGGTTATGTATCTTTCAGGGTGATTTGCTAATTTCTTGTCTGAATAGTCACCTGTCTTTCTGTTGTTACGTGCAAGCAGTTTTTCCATTTTATTTGCCCTCGGATACATTAAAAGTATAGTAGATTAATTCTGTTTAAGTGAGGACTAAGGTAAAGCGGAATGTGACGGACGCTGGTGTAACAAAATAGTTAAGCGGTAGATTTATTTCTCATTTTAACAGCTGCATAGAATAAGCTAGATTCTCCGGGGTAGTACACGTCGTGAGATGTGCTCAGTACTGAGATAAATGACGGATAAGTTACATGGTTGGATTAAGATCCCTTGGGTTTTTCATATAAAAGTGTGACATAGGAGATAAATAGACTTCAGTGTAAAACGAGTAGAATAGACAATGAAAGAATCGTTATGAGAGTTAGGCACTGATAGTCGTCTGATACTGAGATCAATTTGATGAGCTAAAAGGATCCACACGACGTATTTCTTGTGACCGTAGTGTTCAAACAATGTGTCAAGTATATACGGGAGGGATTGACTATCAAGCTCATGGATTAACTGAATCGTAATCTGCAAACCTCCCTAATAGAGATCCTATTCCTTTTAATTTAACAGTTGGATAGTTTTCAGATTTCTCATCATTTTCCTCATCAGACATCCAAGCATCATAGCTGCAAGGCTGAGAGTTAAAGACTTTGTTGTAAGATCCATTACTAGGCTCTTCAAGAGGGAGCTTAGATATTATATTCCTAAATTGAGAAAGTTGAGCTTCTCGGGCGGGAAAGTGTATGGTAGGAATCGATAACGGTAGGTCTTGAGGAGTGATGGCAAATATGTCAACTAAGTGTCTAAAGCTATGTCAGAAATTTGTATGTATTAAGTAATTTAGAAAGTATGAAGTTTGATTGCGGTTTGAACAACAATCAACCCAATGGGCTTGATCTTACTCTGATGTTTGTGATACAATGTTTTGTAAAGCCTCGTTCGCGCGTTGAACTTCTATAGGATCTTCAAATAAGCTATCAGCGCTAATGTCGCCGAAGCTACCATAAAGCTGTCCGTGAGGGCCGTTGTAGAGCAATTGCGAATGATCATTCTATCATGGAAGCATAAGTTAGCCGGGTGGAGGAGTGATTGTGCCCGTCGCACACCTCTTCAGGAAAGTCTTCATCTCGAACATAGCCAAGGCATGAGTAGCAAATACCCATAACTGTATTTTATTTTCTCCTGGTGATTTTGAAGAGATTTTATTATTGAATTAAAATTAAAATGACCGACAGGTCATTGCATTAATATATTGAACCTCAAACTAAAACGAATCGCATATATTACTCCACGGGAAAGAGATGTGTGTTCGGATTCGCTTGAGAAATTTGCATCGAATTGGCCGACTCATCAAGAAGCAAGGTCGCTTATTTCTTGAAGGATGCTTAACGGCCAATGAGGTCGTAAGGTATTAAAATATCAATTGATTTTCCAAAATGCGTCTGGAATAGATCCTCTGCGTTAATTCGGAGCAAAAGCGCTCATCCTATGTTTTTTTGTTCTCAACAGGAGACCTTGAAAGAGAACATCCTAAACACCTGTACGAATCGACTCTAAGGGGCCAAACATACGGTGCTGACTTATCATGAATGGGCAATGAGGTATAGGCTTACAACAAGGTAATACGATACAAGATAAGATAAGAAATTCACTCTAGTCCCATCATAGTCTTAAACTGTCAAGGGCCTATAGAGTCTATCGACTAAATTATGGCCGTATGCCGCCGGCAAAGACGGATCCTTCATCTTCCGGTGATACCGGTATAATCGCTCAGTATGCTCTTTACATATGCAATAGCCAAGAATCGCAACTAAATCAAAATCAAAAGCAAACACAAACAAGTCTTAATCGGTGACTTCTCATCAATTTCGGTCTTGTCATTCTCATGGGAGTCTTCTACCTTAACCTCACCATAAACCACCTCGACTCAACTACCGATAAAGGCGTTACTCCAATAACAAACAGGAGCATGCCTCATTTGTTACCGACCATCACTCACTACAAATTCACGACGCTACGTATACCCGTGCGGGGGAAATTAAGTCATAATCTACAAAGCTGGGACGTGAAACGAACGAGTGAAGAGTTCACAAATGGGCATGCTGGGACGCACAATTTCTGAGTGTTTTCGACTCAAGGGTGCCTGTGGGCGCAGAGGCAACGATTTCGGATAGTGCAACCGACACTCTAAAAACAGGCAACGATGGAAGGTGTTTTGGTCCGCATCCTGGTCGTCATCTCCCCGAAATAAAGTCTGGGTAGCCTGGACACCTAACTCACTCGAGAAAGGGAGGACTGTGAGGCCATATCTCGCGCGGCGGCTATATACAAGATGACAAAGACATGTTAGGGTAGCCAAAGGTTTTTTCTGTTTTCCCTTTGGTGGATATTAGCGGCGGAGGGAAGGGTGAAAGTCCCTAGCACCAAGGTCTCGAGTGGTATAAGCAAATGCACCCACTACATGAGTAGTCCAAATGTCAAACCAAGTTATCGTCGTACATAATGTTCGGGGAAAGATTAGCTCTATCCGTGTCATGCTCTATGAGTGCTATGCTTGTTTCCGTCGGTAAAAAATATCCTTAATTTATTCATTCGTTCATATGGCTGCATTCCAAAGAACACTATTTCAAAAATAAGAAATTTTCAACACATATTGTTGCATCACAGATATCATCGTGTGATAACACAATCATTATTTAGCCTAGCTTACTTTGGTGGGCACGTCCATGCGTCTAGCCATCCGGGCACACAATTGTCGAGTCTCCCGTCTTACGAGCTGGGTACTCCAAAGTCCGAACGTTGAAACGATCGACCCTCTGATTCAGCCGACATGGTTCAAAAGAGACACATGATATAAAAGTGTAAGGCGAGTTACGCACCCTCCCATTAATCTTCCTTCTAGCATCCCTTTCAGAGATCTAGCAGTCTATACAGATGGTGCTCGATCCGAAATAGCAGAATCGCCCAGGACAGGCGGCGGAATCGATATCTTTCAAGCTGGCCAGATGGTATACCGCGAGAGTCTGTCCCTTGACTCGACGCTGTCATATTTCGACACAGAAGTGACCGCCGTGAAAGAAGCCCTCAAAGCTGCGCTTTCCCTATCAATAGCAAGCTTCTCAGATAATATTTGGATACTCACAGATAACCTAGAGGTAGCTAGCCTTTTATTTGAGTCCCCAATTAGCTCGTCGCAAGTTGTTTTTCAACAAATACAGGCCATCTCCCGAGACTGGCCTCTTCGCTCCAGGCTTCCACACATCCCTCCCGGGAAAGTCCAGGCTTATTGGATCCCAAGCCACTCTGGAATATTGGGTAACAATCTGGCCGATGCCTCTACCAGGGAGAGGCTTTCAAAACCCCCGCCTACACCTCGTGGGTACGTTTCTTTCGATACCGCGAAAAACCGTATCAAAGCAGAAGTATCGACGTCTATGAAAGATTACTGGGACCGACATGCCCTATTTTCTTATAGGGAGCTTGCCATCGACTCATACTCTCGTCACCCTAAGGAACTCTCACTAGCCAAACCATTTCTCTCTAGACTATACGCTGCCCGCTCAGAACACGGTGACTTTGCAGAGTACCACTGCGGTTTCAATCACGAGAGCGCTAACCTTCATTGTGGCTGCGGATAGCTCAAAGCCCCATTGCACTTCCTAGAGTGCCACCTAACCACACACAGACCCCCTCGAGCTCCAGTATCTTCAAAGGACCCAAAGAAATATTTGCTAGGAACCTGGGAAGGGGTCCTATGTGTAGCAAAGTGGCTTTCTCTTTCTGAGTTTTACATAAAGACCTGCCCTAGAAATCCCAGAGGAATAAATAGCTCTTAAACTCTGCCTCAACTTTGAGACTTGCGTTATGGATGAATGGTTTGGTATTTCTGATAGATCTATCAGTAGTATTCCGAGAATGGGTGAAACACATCGAAGGAGTGAAGAGCCTCGGCGAACAGCTTTAAAGGTGTAGGTGCCACGCTACACGCTATCATATAATTAGAAAATTGCCTTGCACACCTAATTGGGAAGCAGCAAGGGCAAAGCCCCTTAGGCAGTAAGCACTGGCGTCTATGCCTCTAGTTAGTTTAATGGGTAGTAGGACCTAAGCCAAGGCTTAGTGCCCCGACGGACGAAAAATAGAAAATAAACAAACAAACATGTGTATGGCCTCCTATTTTTATTAGACATTGATTGTGTATTCAGCTTTCTGACTATGACACATGATCAGTGCTATGTATTCATGTTGGATGACTCTTTTGACGTTTGAAACACACACTTATGTTTTCATGCGCAAATACCACTATGGGAAATATTCCCTTACATATAAACTCAGCTCTCCTCCATGAGTATCCAACAAAGGGACTTTTTGTTGGAAATCTAGACTTAGTATATATGAAGGTTTAGATTTCTAAGTATGATCATCAAGATCAATTCAATTGATCCGATTGTAAATGGTTAAGCTTAGCTGGGCGACATGAGGTTCAGTGGTATCTGAAATGCAGTGGCTAGGAAAAGCTAGCTTACGATAATTAAGTGGCTAGTTGTTGCTAAATCACTTGGAGTTTGGGATCACTAAAGCCTCGGGGATCTGTATTTAATGATAGGCTTACTTGTATATGTTAAACTAAGTTAATGGAATATTATACATTATTAATTCATATTGAGAAGAGAGTTCGATATCATATACAACTTGTTGGAAATGGAGACACGGAGTGTTGTGGACGTATGGGCCCTCCATTTCGTCTAGGTTCCCGACACGATCTTGTGTGTACGTAAGAGGTTGGAATAGGTAATATGGTAGCGCTTCAGGCTACCTATTGGACACATGAGCGGCTGTATGGCATGGGTGCAAGGAGGTTATTGGGGGTTTTCTATGCCTAGATGGCGCCACACTCGTTTATGCTGTGGCTTAGGCTATGGGTCGCTTACACTTGTTCTTGTAGCTCACACTTCCCATACTTTTAGCATTAATCCGAACATGACACTCTTTTAGTCAACTTCTACTTTCGTCCCGTGAATATTGCGCCCATTTCATTGCGCGATATTTTCAACACAACTATCAATAAAATCTTGTCCGAAATCTTACACTTGTTTTTCGAGATATTTCCTCCTGGAAATCCTTGACAATTTCTAACACTTTTTGAAATCTTTAATTATTCGAATATGCCTTCGTCATCCACGTACAGCAGAAACGCATGGAATCTGGTTGATTTATGCCGGAATCAAACCAAAAATGCCCTATCTCAAGCGGGATACGTGTCCAAGCTATGCAGAATCTGCTTGGGAGATCGGCTCAAGTGATTTACTACCACAACCCAACTAAGTTGATGTCTGTAGTATCGCCTGCACTCTCACAATCGATGTCGTGTAGCAGACAGGACTAAACTTGCAAGACTCCTTTCTTGATCTCAAATTCTTACCACTCTTGAGATTGTACCCAACGTTAGCATCATCTTGTCCACTTGTCCAGATCTGTCAGGTATCCCGAAACAGTTGTGTATACGAGGACGTCGCTGTTATGCTAAACATGTCTCGACATATAAACTGCATCAACTTGCTTGATACATTTGTATATGTTTCGTCCAGAGATTAGATGTTACACTAATTAGCCTAATACAATGACTAGCCCAATGTACTGACTAGCCTAATATGCTACAGTCTCAACATGAATAGGCTGCTAGCTGAAACGGCGGGAGAGTCTTGAAGGAATCTTGGACGGGAATATATGTATCTTAGATTTCTAGCAAGTAAAGGGATATACTGTTTTTCTCTCATCATCTAGATCTATGTCATTTTTTACAACTGCACAGGACAGTCCCTTACATTCCTGATAGTTATGAGCCCGGATTGACGCCTTATAGCTCATTATTTTTCGATTAAGAAGCTCGAGAATAAGATATTTATATATATTTTTTTACCCATCTCGAACTGTATAGAAGAATAAATTTTCAGATTAAATCACCTTGTAGTATTCAACTATGGCATTCTTTAAAGCAGGTTCCCTCACTAAAGAAAATTATATAGAATGGTTTGACACAATCCAAGGTCATGCCACTGATAGCGGTATTTGGAAGATGGTCGATCCGTCAGGTACAGTGATTCATGAGGAGCCTAAGAAGCCTATTTTTTCGGACTACAAATCAACTGCTACTAAATTTGCAGACTTGGATGATGACGAAAAGTCGATGTACAAAGAGGACAATGCTCAGTATCGAATCGAAATACAGAGTTTTAAACAAGAAAGCAGGATAATTGGTGAGCTCAGAGCAAAGATAATCGAGTCTTTACATCCAAACCACCGAAAGTTAATATTTGGTTTCATGACATGTCGAGAGGCTCTTATCCAAATCAAGAACAGACTTGAGCCATCAGAAGATATTCAAAGAATGCAAGTATTCGATGATTACACGAAAGCACGCGCCGCTCCATCGAGTAAGAACATCGACTCCTGGCTGATGGAGTGGGAAAGATTAGACATAATGATCAAAAGACTGAATATTGCTGATATTAGTGATTATAAATTAATCCAAGATTTTTTATCATCATCAAACTCCATCTTACCCATCTGGGTCACAAATAAAAGAATGGAAATTTTAAGAGTACCAAACAAGACGACACTCAAATTTCTCGAAGTGTTACTGGAATTTCGGCAATTTTGGTCATTGACCGAGTTTGAATCATCATCCAATACAACAGCATTTCCTGCAAGTTTACAAGGTCTACACCAGCCGTCACCGCCATCCAAAGGTGATATCCACAGTCCAACAGATGTTATTCGACCCCAATACCAAAATGGACAGGCAAGACTTTGTCTTTGCGGGAAGAGACATACTGGAAAAGAGTGCTATTACCTTGCTGAAGGAAAAGCACCAGCGGAGTTCAAACCGGACAATAAGGTAGCGGAAAAATTTAAAGAGGCTTGTGACCGCCATAAATTTAGAACTTTCGTCAGGAAATCGGAATGGACATCCAATTGGCTAAAAGAATATATTAATTCAAAGTGGCCAGTGAAAGATGAAAACCGGGATACTATCAACCAAGGTTCGCAAGATAAACATAACGCTCATGGAATATTTACCACTTCCGTCGGGTTCACTAGTTTAACTACTAGACTGGCACATCCGCTTCAAAATGAGATTTTACTGGACAGCGGAGCAGACGGACATGTTTGTAACAACTTAGCACTCGCCATTTCCACCTTAACTCCGCCTAAAAGCCCCGCCTTTGTTCAATCGGGAGCAGGAACTTGTCCGATCATAGGTTACGGAAATATGGTATTTCCAGCCCATCTAGGCAACGGAAAGATCTTTGAGATGACAATAACAAACGTTGCTTTTGCACCCGAATTTTTGACGTCTGTTGTGTCTTGGAAAGTTTTGAAAAAAAAAGGAGTCAAATGGGACACGGATACTAATGTTATGACTTACGATGGTCAAACTATCTGTCAACTTATAGATCGTCATGACCATGATGTTTTCACAGAACTGCCTGTATCGAGGCTAGAAGAGAATAACTCAACAGTCATGTTCAATTCGAGAGCACCACGAAAGTCTGAAGGATCTGAAAATGTATGGCACCAACGTCTTGGACATCCAGGAAAAGAAGCTCTACATCATATAAAGAGCGATTATGCCAGCGTCGATCGAAAAGGTCCTAAAACAAATGAGTGCAAGACCTGCGCTCTCAATAAAGCAACTCGCGTTATTTCACGCAGACCAACTGATCGAGCAGAATTTCCATTTGAAAGGATCCATTTTGATTTGGTCCAATACTCTCCAATAGGTTTCGATGGATCAAGGTACATGCTACACTTCACGGACGATCTTACCAGGATGAATTATGTCTATCTTCTCACTAATAAGACTGGTTTAAATCTACTACGACATTTTCGGAATTTTGTTGCCTATGTTAAGCGACAATTCGATAAAAACATAAAGATTTTTCGATGCGACCAGGAAAGTGGACTGGGCAATAAATTCGACGAATGGGTTGCAGAATTAGGAATCCAAGTTGAATGGTCTGCAGTATCAACAAGTGAGCAGAACGGGCAATCAGAACGTTCTGGGGGGGTGATACAAACAAAAGCACGGTGTCTTGGAAATGGAGCAAATCTGCCACATGAATATTGGCCTGAATTTGTCATGACTGCGGCATATCTTGTAAACCGAACACCGACTGCAACTCTAGATTGGCTTTCTCCGTTATCAAAACTTCGCCAGGCATTAGGAATTCTTGATCGAGACGAATACAGCCACCTGAAGGCATTTGGATGTACGGCTTACGCCCTAGATAAATCAATTCCCAAAGGCGAGAAAATGAGACCACGAGCAAAGACAGGTTTCTTAGTAGGGTATAATTCGCGAAATATTTACAGAATTTTACTACCTGATGAAGAAGTAGTTATTGGAACCCGTGACGTCATATTTGATGAAACGCTATTTTTTGAATATAATAAACAACAACCAAGTCTAGATGATGAATTGATTCCATTAGTAGATTTTCAAATGATTCCGTCAGTTCCGGATATCATCTTCGATGAAGAGGACTCACCACCTATAAGAAATAATGAGCCCGACAGCTACACAAACGAAGATGAAAAATCTAGAAAGATTCAAGTAAAATATGACTTGGACAATAAAGAAAATTCAAGAAGCCTTTCAAAAGATGTGAAAAACCTTCCTCGAGATGAAAAACTTACTTGTCATGAAAAATTGGATGGTAACTTGCCAATGCCTCAAGTAAATCCCAGCGATATTGATAAAAGTCATATTATCGTAGGAAAAAGAATTCGAAAAAAAATGGGGGCCACAAATCTAGACCCCAGTTCGCTGATTGCAACCTTTAATGTTTTTGTGATTGGTAAGGCCAAAGATGTGCGAAAATATCACCAATCTGAGTTACCTCCACCTCCTAGCAACTGGCGTGAATTGAAAAATCATCCACACTCACAAGAATTTCGCGATGCTATGTTGGTAGAATATGATACTCTTATAGCAAAGAACACGATTGAAAAAGTCAAGCAATCTAACTCCATGAACCCTATACCACTTAGATGGGTCTTTACTTACAAATTTGACGAGTCGGGATACTTACTGAAGTTTAAAGCGAGAATTTGTGTTCGCGGAGATCTTCAATCAAAAACAGAAGAGGATAATTATGCATCAACTCTTGCGTTCCAAGTTTTTCGGGTACTGATGGCTCTTGTTGCGCTGTTTGACCTTGAAACTATACAAGCAGATGCAGTGAATGCTTTCTGTAATTCACCTTTGGACGAAGAAGTTTATTTATACAATCCACCAGGTTTTAGTTGCAGCGGACATATACTTCGTTTACTTCGAGGACTCTATGGGCTTCGCAAATCTCCAAAGCTTTGGCTTAAGTTGTTGTCCGGAACATTAATGGATATCGGATTACATCAAATTCCAGGTCAGCCATGTGTCTTTACAGATTTTAATGGCATAATAATATTCTTTTTCGTTGATGATCTAGTCTTTATTTTTCCAAGCAATCGTCGAAATGATGCACTTAAGATGTTGAAGAGGCTGACGCAAAAGTTTGAGTTCAGAATTCTAGGCGAGCTTGAATGGTTCTTGGGAGTAAAAGTATCACGGGATAGGGTTACTAAGAAGCTTTGGCTGAGTCAGCAGTCATACATTGTAAAACTTTGCCAGGGGTATCAGTGCACACAGAAAAATCGTCGCATAAACACGCCAATGGTAACAGATAAAATGCCAAAGAATGAACGGCAGGCTTCGCTGGAAGAAGTTAAGAGATATCAACAAAAGGTTGGATCACTGATTTATGCGTCAGGAGTTACACGACCCGACATATCTCGTGCGGTTAGTCATCTAGCCGAGTTTATGACTAATCCAAGCCAAGTTCACCAAGATGCTGTAGATCACTGCATTCTCTACCTCTATCAATCTAAAGAATTATGCATCGAATATTCCGGGAAATCACCAACAATTAATTGTTCCGCAGATGCTGCGTTTGCTAACACAGATGAGAGGCGAAGCGTCCAAGGCTTTGTATTCAAACTTTGTAATGGACCCATACATTGGAATTCAAGCAAACAAGCTACAGTGGCAACGTCTTCGACCGAAGCTGAGTTACTTTCATTATCAAATGCGACGAAAGAATTAATTTGGATGAACAGATTATTTATAGGAATTAAATTTGATCTTGATCGCGACGTTGAAATTTTTAATGACAATATGCAAACCATACGTTTGTTGACAAAGGAAGATCCCATCATCAAAACCAGACTTAAGCATGTGGACATATATCAACATTGGCTCAGAGAGCGAGTTCAAGCAAAGGAAGTCAAGGTATCATGGATCTCTACCAATGAAATGACTGCTGATGGCATGACCAAATCATTAAGTCGTCAAAGACACGTCAGATTTATTAGTCTATTAAATTTAGTACCTGTTTGTGCTAATCAGGACTTAACTAAAGAAGATTAAATCCTGGGGGGGTGTGTCAGGTATCCCGAGACAGTTGTGTATACGAGGACGTCGCTGTTATGCTAAACATGTCTCGACATATAAACTGCATCAACTTGCTTGATACATTTGTATATGTTTCGTCCAGAGATTAGATGTTACACTAATTAGCCTAATACAATGACTAGCCCAATGTACTGACTAGCCTAATATGCTACAGTCTCAACATGAATAGGCTGCTAGCTGAAACGGCGGGAGAGTCTTGAAGGAATCTTGGACGGGAATATATGTATCTTAGATTTCTAGCAAGTAAAGGGATATACTGTTTTTCTCTCATCATCTAGATCTATGTCATTTTTTACAACTGCACAGGACAGTCCCTTACATTCCTGATAAGATCTCTCTCACGCCCATCCCAAAAATCTAACCCCTAGATCTGTGCACCAAAGTTCTTCTCCTCCGATGGGTATTCATAGTCTTGTGGGCGTGTATGTGGAGGCTAGAAAATGATTTGACGAGAGCTGTGGCCATTGAAGAGTGTACTTGATCGTAATTGCAGACTGGATAAGGCTTAGATAGGAATCGATCTCGCTGGGACTGATAGATTGACATGGTCTAGTATCATGAATCATTGCCTCATAGGCAAACTTGTTTGGTGTAGCGAAATCTAACTCTCAAGTTCGTATGGGACACCGCTTACAGGTGTTCAGTCGACCTCCACGCGCGCTTAGCTCATATATATTAATTTAAAATTCATGGAATATTTCAGCATTTGTCATTTCTCTCTATTTTACACGCACGCGCTTTAAGAAAAAGGCACTCCATAGTTCAAATTAAATGGAAAGTTATTGAGATAGATATACAGGAGAGTTTGTATCAGGTTGATGCAACTCCTACAGTAGTCTTAGAATTGGACAGGATTTAAATGGAATAAACAAATGAACAGGCACGCTTTGAGCAGGCTCACTCAACCACATCCGTCAATTTTCTTTGTTCGCGCTTATTGTTAAATATCTAGGAATTTGAGATTTTGACGAGATTGACGAGGGATACTACTTTTCATTTTGGGAATTCATATCAATGAAGATCGGTAGGGCAGGAATAGATAGTGAGATGCTTCTAAAACAGCTCAAATGTAAGAAAGTTAGTGATAGTATATCTTGGATGTGCAGGAAATTTGACTACTTCAAATATCTCTCAGAATATTTGTGTGCCGTTCGATAATATGTGATGTGAGAATCGAGATCTTCAGTAGGAATTAATCAAAAGCACATACTGATCTGGCACGAGTAAAAGGCCCAGATGGAAACTGATGTTGAGAAGACGTTGCGCGAAGAAGGTCATTCGAATGTAGGCAGCAACTCATTCACCTCTCTATACTTCACCATTTCATCACCTTTTCCCGCTCGGATCACAAAGATTTGTGAAAAAGAGAAGATTAAGATAAATATATCCCATCAGTATGATATGCTGAAAACATCTTGTTCTAACAACAACCCATAGGCTCAATGCTTGCGTACAATTTACAAAACATACGGATGAGTAAATACCGTTGTGTGAGCAGCTATAACTTCTGTTGGTTTTTGCAGGGGAAACATGGAGTTTGGACTTATACAGGGTCGAAAGAGTTACTGCATATGAAATACATTGATCTTTCTCAACTCCGGGAAACTGAATACAAATCAGAAGATTGAAGAATATTTCTGTTCCAATATGAGATCACAAAGTCGAAAAGGCGGTGATATTGCACTTGGCTCAGGGCCACGGCATATATCGCTAGTGTATTGGTCAGGCGAGCTTGTATAAAGTTTCATTCATGTACCCACGATAAAAGGATAAAGGTTTAGCCTTACACTTTCTATTCATAAACCTACAGCATCGTATTGTATAAGTCTATTCAATATCACCCACAAAATATAACTTCATCCACCACTCATCACTCCGCAGCATGACTTCCGCACAGCTCATAACCACAATTTCTCATTGTGTAATCGTTACGCCAAAAACTCATGGACTAAAAATAGAGTACACTTATTACACGAATCATAGGAATTCCTATTTGCAATTAAGACATCCAGTACATTCCAACATTTATCAAAAACAACGCGGTAGGGACCTGGGTCACCTGGAATAACCATTAGCTTTTCTTTTTTTGGACTAGTTGGTAGTGAAGGAGATACCTCTATCATAGATTTCGTGATCCAGCATGATAGGATAGAGGACGTAGGGTCCACGAGCAGGATAAAGCCACTTATCGAATATTCGGGGATACGAGTCTGTTTTTTTAGAGTCCGATATTGGCTTTTCTCTTGCGACAGCAGCCACTTCAAGGACTTTTGTTTTTTCAAATTCAACTCCTCGACAATCAAATATCTCTACCTTTTGTGCAGTCTGCGGCTGTTGCAGAGAAGTCGCGCCTGCGAGAGTCTGGGCCTGACATGGACTCGCTCCAATATTGCGTGGAATTAGAGTGTGTGCGTAGGATGCTATGGCCAAATAGGTAGTAAGCGAAAATAGGTAGAGAAATTTCATCTTGTCTTTGAATTCGAGGGTATTAATTGATGGGAGAAAATTTGGACAAGCTCTGTACTCGCCTTGGGTCATATGAAGCTCTTCAATATCGATGGCAGGATTATTGACGTCAAGATCGCATATATTTGATGCTGGATTGTCCTGACGATCATTGATGATAAATACTAATTGCTTCGGTGAGAGTAAAATTGAAGGCGGGCCATAGCTGTGTACGGAACTATCTTTGACTTCAGCCTACAGGACCATCTAGGAATGCCAACATCAAATATCTCATAAGATAGATACCTCGGCAACATTACGAGTCATTGGAAACAGAGAATTTTCCCTAGAGGTGGGGCAGTTAATCACTGGGAGATGGAATGATCGGATCAGTTTTCTAACGTCGCTAAATGCGCTCTACTAGAGTAAACTGCTTTACTAAATCGAATGGTACGTTTTTACCAAAACTAACAGAAAATACGACTACTGCGAGAATTTAGGAATGATTAATTGTCAGTTACAAGTTCGTGTTCCTTGGAGTATCTTATGATGATATTTAAATTTAACTTTCGGGTAAAGGACTAAGACGCAACAACTTAAAGCAGTATTTCCCCAAAATTTCCGTCGTTTACCAAAGATTCTGCAAAGAAGTTGAGCCACACACTTTTTCAATCTAAGGCTTAGTCCTCTGTCTGCACCAAAGTGTAAGAGGACGAGAGTTATGGTCGTCGTACCCAAGCACTGCCACAAAATAATAAAAAATTTACGGGAAAGATAACTTTAGCGGTTGTGTACCGATATAAAATGTATCCTTATAATCAACCGAATCAAATAATTACTTGTGATCTTGTCTAGTGCGAAAGGCAGAATAATTTGCTAGATTCACCAACATACAATCCTGGGCCTATAGGCCAGCCCAGCCAATTAGTATTGGGTAAGAACTATTACAGTTTTACCCAGTCCTGTCGAGACTTCAGATTAAATTTGGCTTGAGCACTAAAAAGATTTTCTCCTTCCCGTCTATTAGCATTTTCAGGGCTCATTTTGCCAGCTTATCCACACTTTCACTTTCTTGAATCCCCAAATTTTCTGGAATTAACTCTAGTTAAACAGTGATGTTTTCCCCTGGATCATTTATGCTGTAGCAATAGCTCTCTGTTGGTAGTACTGTTCGAAATTTTCAGAGGTTTTTTGAATGCTGTGAAGGGAGAGAGAGAGATTTGTTTATTGTACTACTTGAGTCTCTAACTTTCTACCGCATTGGGCTCCTCTCTGACCCAGGTCACACCTTGTACAGTGCTCTTATCCTCTTTTTTTACTTGAGAGATCATCAATATATTGTGCGTGATGAAAAGCCATTTAGCCCAGTATTTACCCGTGGAATCTGGCCACCTTTTCCACGGAACCTTCTACCAAAAAAAATAAAAATTCTCAAATAACCTGCAGCCTCAGCCAGGCGAGGCCTAGACACCGGGACCACATGAGGTGCGCATATTCATCTACATCTCCCCTCTTTGTAACAGTCGAGGCCAAATTTATCCAACCCGCCATCTCCGTATCGGGTGCTGGGTACGCTCCGGAAACTCATCGGATGGCTTTTCCTCCATGATCAATGGTTGGTGATAAGTAGGGCTCCGACCCTACCATCTGATTTGATCGTGGTTAGCTTCATGATAATGGTGATAGGAGAATGTGGTGAGATATAAAGACGATACAGACGGCGAAAGCGAATGGGAACCCTCGTCGAAGTGAGGACTTTGTCACTCAATCTCGGCTCTGCAGACTCTACAGTGAGAGCTGAAGGCTCGTAGGGGCACCACTGATAGGTATTGGGAATAGCCCCCTGGCTCATTACCTTGAATTATTCAATTCCACCAATCACTCGCTGGCATGGGTAATTATTCCCCAACGTATGCTTGAGAGAATTTAATAAATCGGTACCACCAATATCCTTTCCATTGAGATTAGATGAGGAGGCTTGTTAGGGCTCGTGCATCGTGTTTGTTTGGAGTGACTAATTTCCATACAGATAGATATAGATAGTATAAAGCAATTTATAACCAATCAGCCATAGGTCGGTTCCATCGTACGGTAGATACATTCACTGCATCCCTCAGTCGGGCCCAAGGTTGATACGTGATTCTTTCCCACTCCGGAGCCATATCGACAGTGAGTAGAAACTGAGTTCTCACATTGTGATGGCATTTCACGCTCTAGTTCGTAGAGGGAATCGCTTACAAGTGTTTATTCTCCGTCTCTGGATCCACCACATGTCTATAAAAAAGGAAAGAACCCGATAGATTACCCAGAGCAGCTTTTGGAACTTCTCAAGGGTTCCCAAAAGAACTCATTCCGCCGGGTCGTGTCAAACTGAGAATAAGTGAAGGACTTTCGGCCAGACGTCGGACATGGCTTGCCACAAGGTTTAGACGGGGAAATATTGCATCCAATTTCATGCTCGAACAAGCATGCCGGGCGAAAGTCTTCGATTATGCTGTGTCTATGGCCGATAATTTCAGCCCACATTACAACGGAACAAACGGTACATTTACTTCACATATAAAATAGGATACAAATTGTTGTAGACGGTAAGATGAGCGAGAGGTGAATCATCATGGTATTGACTCTTTTTTTTCAAAACTGTGGGAAAGCATCATTATATTTGGAAATAGATACATAGAGACGGGTGAGGCCTAACATTGTGACTAATTTACGGAGTTATATCCAGATCTGGACACTTTTTCTTGAGTTACTATCCGATTTGTCAAAGAAAATTTCGCGATGAGAGATGATGAGCTGAATTATGGTACCCTGTGTTATAGCTGAAATAATGAGCTGGACCGTCAATAACGAGATGCGGACTTTATAACTTTACATCAATGATAACTGATTTGCCCCAGATATGCGTAACAACGGATAAGACGGCTATATATGCATTCTTACGAGATGCAGATTGATACTAAAAATAAGATTGTACAAGGTAATGAAATATAGGGCACTACACGGTAACCTTGCTCCTTACACAAGGGTGATAAGTCAATCGGTCTCTGCTAAACTTCTGATCAGAATTTAAATCATGTGGGTTGCAAAAGCCTCTAAAACACCTGTTCATATTTTCTTATTGTACTGTAATAAAAACTAATGCCAGACTCATTCAGAATAATTTGATACTAATTATAATAATTAGTGTATAACAGAAACAATTGTGATGAAGTTCTCTAAGTCTTGTAGCGGCATACGGAGGAAATACTCGCAAGATTTAGGTTCGAATTATTGATAAATCTCGGTACCATATTCAAGTCAAGAAGTCAGCCTTCACTAGTGATCTAAGGCTAAAATCAAGATCAAAGTTCGTGTGGTGAAATCTCCAAATTGTGACAAAATTTTGATCAGAATCCTTGCAAGCTTAGGCTTTAGTTATTTTTAATTGGCCCAGATTTCAGTTGAGCTTACATTCATGTAGACACAGGGTCCCATAAGGCAGCTTACTGCTTCAATGAGTTGTCTCTGACTCGACTCGAGAAGCAGCAGCTACAGACATTTTTGCCTTTTAATCCATGGTTATACATGGGATATTTAGTTCGTCGTGCACAACTTTAATGAATCAAGGAGCGCCACGAAGCTTTTGTAACTGACTCATAAATCCAAACCCATTTTGGAAATTACTTTCGCCAATTTCCGGATGAGATTCAACTATTTTTTTCTCAATCCGATGTTGACGCGAGTCATCTTCTACATTTCGTAGTAATTGTCTGTGCTTCTCCTCCACCATTTTGGCAAGACTCTCGACAAATTTGCCTCTTGCTCGTTCCTCTGATGTACCCTTCCACACAATGGCCAGTTCTTTAAGTTCCTCAACTCGCTTGGTGGCCGCCTCAATATCATCGATCGGGTCACCGCGATTTAGTAAGGTGGAGATTTCATTTCGAAGATTCTTCAAATCCTGTTGTCCTTTTTCTTCTATACTGTAGGCCTCTGAGCCGGACTCTGGCGCCGAGAGGGAGATGAAAGATGAGGCAACTGAGACTTCCGAAGGCGGTAAAGTCCAAGCCATAGCCTCTCCAAACGTCTTGATGACCATCTCTAGTCGCGTGCGAACGAGAGTTAGAGTGCGGAGTCGCTCTATGAAGGGTTCTTCGGCCATGTCAGGAGCTCTTTCTTCGGGCGAAGCTGTTTGCACGATAGTTTTTTGCATACATGTCGCATCTTGATCTATCTCCAAGTCTTTCCCTGCGACATTCTGTAACTCTGTTTCTAAGCCAGCCGGGACAAACTTAACGATATCATCATGTAGAGTATCGGTGAGATTTTCTGAAAGTAGAAGAGTCTCACCTCGAAGTACTTCGACTTCGTATGCTAGTTTGCTACCGTTTCGAAGTATCTCATCGGTGAGTTGTGTAAGAGTCGTTGTTAGTCTCGTTGTATGAGCGCTGAGCTGGGAGATGATCGTCTGTGCTTGCGTATAAAGTTCTGCCATATTGACACCGTCGCTTGTGCCGGCTGATACAGTACCGACGGTATTGAGACAGGGTAACTTGGCATTCAGGTATTCAGCCGGGTCGTAAGAAGCCTGTAGAAAGGGCTGAAGAAACGGATCAGCGACATGTGCAGACTTTGGAGCATTTGCCTCATCTGATAGTTCACGCTGATGCATTTCTTATTTGCGTCGAACTGGCCCTCTCGAATGCGGAATACGTGGTTTACATTCGCATTGTCCAGTAGGCGATAATTGGACGCAATGCATGCATGATTATCTTCAGATTCGGTTGGCTTACACTAGTCCTTATTCGGACTAATCTCTCGTGCTCACGCTACACTCTCTTTGTGGATCTCAATTCTTACTTACTCAGGAAAATCACCCAAATTCTACAGTCCAAGCTATCCATGTGGCTACCAATCGCAGAATCCCAAGCACATGATTATGTCCTGCCCTCCCTGGTCCTTGACTCCTAGGATATATAAAGCATAGCTCAGGACATAAAATTTTTTTAAAAAAAATGTCCTACCCTTAATTCTTGAATGGAAGAGAAGAGATCTGGAGAAAATCCAAAGATCGGTCCTACGAAGCTATGATAAACAATCCTGGCAACATCAAAATAATAACACAGCGGATCCTAAAGCATGATTGGATAGAGCAATCCTAGATGACAAAGGCTGTCGAAATGCTGCTGAGGGATAGGAACAAGTCAAGCCATTCTTTAGGTCGACAAAGATGATGTAGTTGTTTTACATGGAGGGCACTATAGTGTAACTGCGCTTCCTGATGGATACATTACAAGAATACAGACAATAAATAGAAAAGTTTGGGGGTTTTCACCAGAAAGTTTCCTGCCGTGTAAATTAGAAAGTATGATAGATATCTACATGGACCTATGGGGCTCCAAAACAGGATAACGAAACCAAATCAAATACACTATCTCTTTTTCTCAACGTAACAGAAAACCCCTTTCTCAGGCTACATAGCGCATGTGGTTTCTTTTTGTTCACGGGTAAGGGATATTTATACGAGAAGTAACCCCGATTTTATGCTTCCTACATTGCTACACTCAAAGAGTACCACTCATCACAAGTCCTCATATTATTATGCACCGAGAGCAGCCCTTTGCCCTTTAATATCTCCTCTCCTCAGCCAACGAAACCATGGCAACTGGCAACTGGCAGATTTATTGTAGCTGGGGAAAATCGCAATAACCACAGTGTGCGAGGCTCTCCTAATACCGACTCAAGGACTAAATGCAAAGACGTAGCTACTCTTTTGAAGCTTCCGTAGAGACTGGAAAGCCAGGCGCTACTAACTTGTATGTATCTAAGAGAGTTACTCTTTGCCTTCCTGGGCCCCTCACAACTCCTTCAATCGTGCGCGCCTGGGTACAAGAGGTTATGCTGAAACGCCTGGAAAGTCTCGACAAAGTGTGTGTACCGCAAAGCAGACTAGTGTAACTCCCATCAGGCATAGAAAGTGGTAGAAAATATCGTAGACTTACTGAGTATTTAAGCCCTACTGGCTAGTATTAATATCAATATAGACCCTGTAGGCTCCACAGTAGGATCTAGGGGTTCGTAGGGCACACTACGGACAGATGATGAGTTTTATCCTCTCGAGTCCATTGAGTTTAATTGATTTAAATTTATGTCTTTACTGAGTCTTTGACTGTAAAAGATTACTTGGAGATCCAACCAATCAATTCCTTTATTTGTTGGTTAAATTTTCAACAAAAATATCACTATTCGACGGAGTGAAAGGCCATGATTCTTGTCTCGGGTTATATCCGCTAGCAGTGCTTTCGAAGTTACCCGCGAGGACTTGCACCATCTTCTTAACAGTACATACCACCAAAGAGAATCCCTGTAACCTATCATCACCCTAGCATGCTCTAATGAATTCATTCCACCAGAGTAATGCATGAGACTTATCCCATCAGCCAACTTGGAAACCTCCATATCCAACTCTCTTTATCAGTGGGTGAAAACAAAATACCTATCGGTGATGTGATTTAGGAACTTGGGTGTTGAATGACCAACTAGAGCCGAGTTCCAGTAAGATTTCGAAATATAAAAAAGGTGGCTTACGAGCTGTTAACTCTAGCCTTACCACGTCAATCGTTACTCCCTACAAGCCAGGTTTCAAACAGTGCTCACAGAGTCTACTAACATGGCCTCACCGGCCAGCTTTTGATCGAACATATAACCCTTCGGCCCAGTCCTTGACCTTCAAATATGCGCCCACGACCCTGTAACTACCTGCAGAGACACACACGTTACCACGGACCACCTAGTTAGGCATGTCCCAGAGAAGAATCACACAAGTAACAGGATGGATAAATAAGATTAAGCTAACACTGGATACATGGCAGAATAAGGCAAACCCTCGAAATCTGCGAATAAGATTCACACTGAAGGAAATAGACACGCTAAGACCTTATTCGACACGGTAAACGCCATTAGAGGCAGATGCATGGCTAGATGGTGCAATGGTTTAACAACTGGGCCGGTCTCTTGGCTTGTGTCTGGATAACCTGGACGCTTATCTTACTCGAGACAAGAGATCACTAGTTCGATCATAGGAAAGAATGACCAGTGATATTGCAGTGATCGTTTACAGCATACCAGATCATGCTTAAATAATTGAAGACTCCAAAAATTTCCTCTGGTAGTTACCCACGGACGGAGGACGACCGTTTGCGTACGCAGACACACATCAGTAGCACCTGCGAATAAAAATCAGTGTATAAGCGTCTCTGAATTCAGAGTAGATACCTGACTTTGACCCAAAGCACCGGTCATATGTCATATCTAGACAGCTGCATACTCATTAGATAATTTCAAAATAGACGACGTCCTAACCTGACTTCAATCGAGTATGCATCTATGAGTGCAAATACCCCATCATAACCTCTCCTTTCCGCCTACGCAAGCAAAAGTCGACTTTGGATCTGTAACTAAAGGGAAAAGTTACCAATGGCTGCTAGGTATGAAGCTTCTCTACTTTAGATACCAGTATCAAATCCAGTGAAGTATACATATAGTTCATTTTACCTGATTTGGCGCCTTGAGGCCCATGCAGGTTTTTGTCGGAAGATATTTACTTAAAGTAGGATGACTCAATTTGATGATTAGAACACTCACACTCAGATTTCATTTGCAGATACCACTCGAGGTTAACCCTTACGGCGTATAACCTCTTCCGTGCATACCCACCACAGGGAAAAGCATGAAAACCCTGTCGCTATCCGAGTGTGCTTTCATCATTCCACAAGTACAATATCACCGCGAGAGAGTGTGGTGTGTGGGTCTAAATGGATTCGAAACAGCTTTCTCTTGTCTCGAATGGGGTAGGTGTTCAAGCTACCCAGTATCTACTTGGGAGAATGGCCCGGATGGTGTACCACTGCATCATCCAACCCAATTCAGTGAAGTAGTAACACTTTTAAAGCGTTTACCTGAACTGTACATCCGTGCGCGATAACCCTACGTATTCTGAAAATGACATTTTCTCTACCAATTTCCACTCAACGCCTGCCATCATTCATGTCACAGGATAGCCAGAAGATTGTAATGGGATACCTAATAGCTTTGGTCGAGAAATTTAATTGTAAGGTATCCTATTTCAGCCTCTAAACACGATATGGAAATGAGCTTATTGAGGATCTTGTGCAATGCAGAGTTACTACTAGCTAATAAGTCAGGAACCCAAAAGAGAAGCGTGCCTTGGAGTGTCGAGTTCTAATTTTTTCAAGGGCGGAGGTTCTTTTGCTTTGATTTAGTGGGCTTGTTGTTCGCCTTGTGTTGGATATCAAAGATAAGAGTATGACGAGAGCTTTTCTACCGATCGCGCTAATTCTCATTAAATGTCCGCCCACTTACCAATCACCACTGTCGTTTTGATGGTCGTGGGAGTTATCTAAAGCGTACTCATGATGAATGAGAGGTCAAATCAGCTCAAAGTTCAAATTATCACTTAGTCATGGAGTCACAGATATTAATATTGGAATAATGACTCATTTAGATACTGATTAGGCAGATAACTAAAAAGTCTTTTAGAGTCCGAGACTCAGTAGAGTCTTAAATTTAAGTCAATCAAATGACTGCAGATTCTTTAATGATAGTCGAAGGTTTATGACTGGTACCGCTAATAGATTTTCAGCTTTAATTTCCGTACAAATAAATGTCTTTTGGGCATGGGTTTCTTTTCGAGTTTCGCATTTGATAATGCACACAATATTATCAACAAAAGATGCATTCAATAATTGTGATATCAATTTTTGAATTTGTATGATCCTTTCAAGTGAGGCTTATATCTATTAGTGCAACCAATGAATAATTCGCAGCTAGCTGTCAATGATCCGTGAGACTAAAAAGATTATGAGTTCTTCACCTTGGCCTTAGTATCTGTTACGGTTTGACCGTTGTTTTAGCTTAGGAAGAAACCTATGCGTTTAAATAGGAATAATTACGATAAGCCTGAAAGAGGAAGGATGGGCAAATAGAGATGAAATGGCACTACTAGTCAGGAGGTCGAAGCAACAACATAGCGTAATGGCTCCTGATAATACTTGGCTCAGTAGCAAGCATTTGGCCTAGGGGGAAGTAACAGTCAGCAGATTCACGAAGCGGACCAATCGTTGCAAGTACCTGTTAGTAGTAGCTAGAGATTTCTTTTCTCTTCATATAGTTTAGTAAATCGATTTATTCATCACCAACTCGGTTTCCGTCACAGTATCGTCCATCTTCAGCTAGAAACAGATTATCAAAACAAAAGTTATTGATTAATTATTTATAGCCTAATATTTTGAATGATTCCCCACAAGTATTGAACTTTTGTACTAAGCATAAATTACTGTCAATAGAATCATACAAAAGTTGATCGATTCACAAGAAATACAATTTCTGTCCAAGTAGTTTCAACCCCATCTTTGTACATAAGTTACCAAAGCTTATATGGGCTTATTCAAGTCCCTTTTCAGGCAGATTATTCTGAAGCATCGAATCCAAATCATATTTCGCTTGTTTAAATCTGCAGAATTATGCATCACATGAGTGAAACCCTTATCTACCTGACAAATTTGTCCTTCACTTTGGATTTTAGGTTAATAGGATGTCTTCAGTTTTCGAAGTTTCTCCTACCTATAGAAATCTCTCGCACGATCATTAACTATTTTCATGCCCCCAGAGCGTGACATTGAAGTTAAATATCTGGTCAAGATAAAGTTTGACGAATCTCGTGAAAAGTTATATTAATCTTTGTAGGTGCTAGTATATGCATGAATCCAGCCTTGATAATTGAAATTCTAGGTGATCTCTTCGTGGTCACTACTTGATTTCCTTAGTCCCCTCATAAATAGAACAAATACATAACAATCGTGTCGACTTAGATCTCGTCGTAATACGTTGTTTTTCAGCATCTTTAAGCGTGATCAAAATTTTGACACGGACTTTCATGCCTATTTATACTTGTCATACTATACCGGACGTAAGATATCTATCGAGACGAGACCTGACGATCTCGAATACAATGTCCATTGGGTTGATTAAACTCTTGGCGCTTTCGATTGGCTTTCGGTTTCAATTTCTCTGGACAATATGGCTGAGAGAGGGTGTTCTGGGAGCTGAAATGCTTGCTTACAATCTTCAATTGAAGTCGTCTCAAACATTGAAACGCGGTGAGGGAATATCTGTTAACAATTACATGTCTTACAGAAGAAAATAAGATATCCCAATTTCTCCTGCCAATATATTACTCGTTCGGCATACATTATGTAATAAATCGCTCAATATTTTCCAAGACAAGCCGGTTACTTACTATATTTTCCGGTGTTATACTACAAATTTAAACAATATCGTCTCAAAATAAATGTTTTGGCCGTTCGTTTTGTGAAACTGAAGGAGAATTGTTGCTTTCTTCGTCTAAGGTCTGACGCGTTATGTTCTGGTTTAAAATATTGCTAGGAGTAGGGTTTCTTGATGAGTATCTGTGTTGTGGAGGGGGTCGTATTGGCTCTCCAGATCTTTCACTTGGTCTTCGCCTGCCATAGGTTGGTTTTCGACAGAGAGGATTAGAGTTCATTCCAGTCGATTGCTTGCTGTTACTACGCTGAACATTGTTGGGGATATTCTCCGTTTCTCCCGGAATCCAAATGGCAGTGCTATCTTTTCTCATTGGATAATGCGGGGGTTCAGCAGTCTGAGGTCCGTCTGTAAACTCTGATTGATTTTTGGACGCTATATTTTCAGTGAATTTTAATGGATTAGGTATCAGACGTGATCTTTCCCTTTCATCCTCTGCTTTTCTTCTCGCTTCAGCCGCCCAATCATCCGTTACAGCCACTGTATATCCTGGATTACTAGGTCCACCCAAAGCATCTGAAACACCTCCGGGGCCGTAGATCGGTATCTTGCGAAGAGCAAGAACGAGCGCACACATAAATTTGCTGCGGCGAGCAGCACGAACGGTTTCATTATGCCAGTTTGATTTATGACGAACTTCTGCCCTGAGAGTGAGTTTGTCCATCGAGTTGACACTTGTTGTTTCTATGATGACATCTGGCTGGAAATCGCGAGAATTATCGGGATGGCGTACAAATGCTTCCATTGTTGTGCGTAGAATTTCAATATCCTCGAGAGATGTGTCAAAGGATATAAAGAGCTCAAGCTGTTCTTTCATAGCCTTTGAACGACTTGTATTCTCGATCCACAATGTATTCAAGACAATGTTAGGAGCCTGTACCATTTTCATGCTGTCAATACGTTTGAATACAGTAAATAGTAAAGAAATCTGTTCCACCACAAGAGATATGTCGTTTATTTCACACCGGTCCCCAACGTCGTAAGGGTGCTTAACGAAGAGAAATATACAGGAGCCAAGGAACTCTTGAGTGGTCGCGGCGAAAACAAATGAAAGCGACAAAAGAGTTGTTCCGGCTGTAGCAAGTGTTGTAACGAAAGAAGTGTGTTGGAAAGCCACTGAGGATTTAAGTCAATAACAATATGAGTGGAAAGTAACGAAGACCAACCGTATATAAAAACAACAACAACGATAAGAATAGTAACGAGGACCTGATCCAAGACGCCGATAGCTTGTCCTACATCGCGCATACTGGCGGTAATAGCCTTGCTATCTCTTCCAATGTCTACTACCTTAGTAATCATTTCGTCAAGCGAAATGTCGCCATTTCCATCGGTGTCGAGAACAGCAAAGCATTCCTCTGCTTTGTCGCGCCTAGACTGCCCAAGGACTTCTTTAATATCGTCTAGGTATAGGGAGTCATGATCTTCTTCCACGAATGACATCCACAATCGTCGAGCTAGTGCTTCTGAAGACTTTGTCTTTTCCAAAGCTTCATTCACCACATTTTGTGCCGAGTTTACATTGAACACTTGTTTACCCGTGATCTCAGAGGCCATATTGCCAAAAGCAGAAGTAACTTTGTCGCCTATTCTTCCAATCTCCCCAACAAGACGCAAGGGTGAAGCCGATGTCGGGCGACTCTGTTTTACCTTATCTAGTTTAGCTTTGATTGGTGCGTTGATGATATAGTCTTCCTGCCGAAATTCCTCACAGTATGTTGGGAAAAGTGTACGACTAGCTTCATATAGATAGCTTAGTAAACGAATGGAGTTTTTGCTTTCTTTTATTCGGTTGTAAAAAGAGCGGCGATGATAATTGAAACTGATTAACTGCACAAACATTTTTTCGGCGAGATACAACATCGAGGCCAGAAGGGATGAGAAAAGTATATTCATGATAATAACAAGCCAGTGTTTCTGGGTTGGTTCTTTCCTTGGCAAAGAGATGATAAAAACCTTGAAAATTATTAGACTTGCCAAAGTCCATCCTACTAAGCTGAGCTGGATCTCCACTGCATGAAGTATTGCCGCATATTTTCTAGTTCCTGAACTTATGACACCACAAAGAGTAACGAAAACACGGGGTACCGCCTTTGCAAGAAGCTTGCTGATCCAAAGAGATAGCCAAACAATTTCGACCCATGCCCACACAAGATATACTGGCACATCTGACCGGTCAACTTTATCGTGAGGCCTAAATATGGCATATATGGCGATTGGTATCGCCAGTAATAAAGCTATTGGGAGCACATAGACCAAGTACCGAGTAATTACGGAGAAGTTAACGATTGTATCATAAATTCTACCCAAATGATTGAGCTCAACTTCTTCGCCATCTGTCTCAACATGCATCGGTCTAGCACCGAAGTTTTTGGCCTTGCGCCGACCTGAATAGTGCGACTTTTCTTTGTCATTGAATGAATCTTGCTGATCGAAATCATTAAGGGTTGATTCGCCGGCCTTACGCGCTCCCATTGAGGAGGCTGGGGTTACGATCCGTGTGAGGGGAATGATGGCCTCGTTTTCGTATGCCATATTGAATGAAGGTGAATGGCGTGGTAAAGAATGCGTGATAACGAACGTTTATCGATAATGATTTCTATTGCTCTTTCTGAGTATGTAACTTTCAGGACGCTTGATAGCGTGTAGCCAGGCTTAGGCTCCCATAGCAGGCATCAGTTAAGGTTGCGCATATGAATTTCTGGCTTCAGAATGAGAGTCGAGCGTAGAGTGAAACGACAGCCAATCACCAACTGCTTAAAATTAGTCGTGGAAGTGCCGGGAAGTGCGGGTCCTTCCACCTGTTCAAGGGGAGAGAGTTGACGTACAGAGATTCAAAAGGATGAAATTGATATGTGTAGGCAGGGCTGATCATCCTATAACTATGGAATCTCTGATTCGAGTGACGTCATTGCGTCGATTTCTTAGCCCGATAAATTAAGGTTTTAATTATTGCACGAGCTTCAAAAACGCAAGGGGCAGAAGGAGATGGAAAGTTGTTCGCCGAAATGCGATCAGACTGCTTACGGGCCCTTCACCAGCAATAGTGGTAAGCTTGTCATTACCAATGAAGCGTACCGACAGATTTTAGCAGCCCCGGCTATTGCAGCCAGCTTCATATGCACAGGTTGGGGCATTTGGTGTCGTTGTCTCGGATAACATTTCCTTTTGAAGATCCCGGACAGTTAGATATTATCCCGAAAGTGGCCTATTATAAGATTTTCATGCCAGCTTCGCTAAGGCCGGGTAATCTCTGTTCGTCAACCACAAACGTCAGCTTACACCAATCTACAATCTCCCAGCCAGCATAGCACCTACACTACGGTGAAATTAACAAACCTAATGCATGCTTGTTAAGGGCTTTATGTAAATCTTATGCAAGTACGGAAAGTCATCGTGATCCATCGATTAGTTGGCAACAATCATTATTCAACAATAGCAAGGACTACACAACACCCCACACAAAATCTACGCACAAATTTCGATAATCTGGTAGATCAAGCGGCCAAACTGCATACATTGCCGACTGCAGCCGTTTTAATTAGAATTATGAGAAAAAAACAGGTCCCAGTCAAGTCAGCTCGATACCGAAAGCTAAATACGATATAGCTGCTTTGATGTTTCTTTATGTCATACTAATATCTGTAGTGAACCTTTCTATGGGCTTCATCTATAGAAGAAAATGGTTCCTACATGTAAATTATTCAACATTCAAATTCTGTTTATCTCTCATCACCCTAGGACGGTCGATAAATTTTTTCATACGAATCCAAAGACTTTGTTCACTGCTCGCGCCCACTAACAACCTACTGTGGTCAGATAATCTTGTGGTATTACGTCAAAGCTGGTGCACTAAACACAATCGAGAAAATCTAGTTACTTATCCCACCCCAAGCATGAGATCACCGATCAAAGACTAAAAAGTCTGCACCATATTTCTCGCAGTGATTGTATGCAAGATGACGAGGCCACGCTTAGACAACCAAAGATCTTGAAACTTCCTTTCGGTGAAAAGTCATCGACAAGGGTCTTCTGTTTTGGGTAAACAAATATTGTTCGCGGTGACATTCGTAAATGAATATGAGGCCTTATTCAAGTGCTGTGCGAGTATCTCGGTATTGCAGATACCCAAGACACGGGATGTGTGCAACTTTTAAATACATGTGTACACGATAAAATACTATTCAGAGTTACTTCTTGCTGATATGCTGCTTTAAGACAAACTAACTTTTTGAGCCCTATGACGGGGCAGGTTGTCCAAATATGGGACTGTGTAGCATTGCACTTATCATGCTTGATGTCCACACCTATCACTATCGGCAGAATCCGGGGTACCAACTGCCGCCCGCCAATCACGATTTTTGGACGTCGCCTGTGGCACAAGCAGAAATCGGCCCTTTGTGTAGTATTCAACAGGGGTTGATCTTCGCCTACGGAATGCGACAAGCCCAACCTGATCCTTTACAACACTGGCCTGTCAATGCAAGGAGCACCAAGACCGGACACTAATCAGCGATATATATACCAATCTGGTATCGAATATTCTACGGAGCTCACGATTCAGTAACGGTTAGAGCACTCATCATGATTATCCATGATGCAATGACTCAAGACTTCCCAGCTCTCAGAATATCCGCTTGCTGCAAGGCAAGCACCAACCAATACTAAGCGTCCTCTGCGAGTACGACCCGCTATTCATTCCTTCTGATGGCCACAAGCTTCAATGGCCCGATGATTGAACTTCATTGTCTCATGCTAAGCGCTCGAGACTTAGTGGGCACGCGCAGGATTATTCAGATCACGATATACAAATCTAGATGTGCCTATGTTTGAAAATATGAATTTTACGACTATCCCTTCGGAGTCTAAAACTGCGGACTTTTACCCAGAAACGAGGCTACAGCCTCGCCGAATTTACAGAACTTGCGAGAAATTTGAGGGATTGCAGATACGATCTTACTGGGGATATATATAGATCCTGCTCCGATTTAAATACATTTGTTAATTTTGTACACTGTTAATTGGCTCATGTTGAACAGTGAGAAACTTCTTTATTTGGTGATCCTGATTCGGGAAAATTTTTACACCGACAAGATCTACTCCGAGTTTTTGACCATTGGTCGGAGTCACGAAACATCCACGTCAAATCCATTTCATAACCATCTGACCGGCCAGAAACTACTCATGGATTCGTGAAGAAGATTTTGGGCTGGTTTTTATCAAGATACTTAAATCTATGACTGTTTGGTACGTTGACCTACTATCTCTTACCCACGCCATACCTTGCACTATTTTTTAATCATTTTGAAGTGGATCTAGCCTATGCTCATTATAATACACTTAAATGCCCAGGAACGAAAAAAATTTTCATTACTGTTATGCTCAGCTATGTAATATGATAGATCTAGTAGCTGGTGCACAGGTAGTTATTATGGGAGTATGGCATTATGGTGCATGATGGAGATTCCGTGTCTATATCACGGCATTACAAGTAGTATTGTGTACAGTATGAGAGATGGGTTATTGATATAGGACAAATGGCATAGTTGCTCAGTTGGGAGTATACTTTGGTGCGCTACATAATTGTTAAGTGATCAGCCCACAAGTGAACAAGCTAGAGGATAAGGGACAAATTTCCCTCTGTCTGTAACATAACAATTATCATAGTAACTTCACTTCTGCACACATTAGTGAAGATATCTCACCACAAACTATCTTAGCTGTTCCACCGCAAGTGTACATTCCTAAATCATATACCAATCACAATAATTACAGAAGAGATCTCCCAATTCGTGCTATTTGTTAGAAAACATACTCTGTACAATATTATGTGGATATAAAGTACGGACTCGATATGACGATATTCGATGAAAATATACGTTGGAGATATCGCGCATTGAAATGGACGCTATATTTCTGGAACGAAAGTAGAAGTTGACTAAAAGAGTGTCATGTTCGGATTACAGCTAAAAATGTGGGATGTGTGCGCTACAAACACAAGTGTAGGAAGGCAAGACTGAACACCTGTACGCGGTGTCCTCTACGAACCTCGGAGTGAATTATTTTCTCAGAGCCAAGTTCAGTCAAATGTTGCAATACTGAAGAAGTTTGCCCGAGGCAATGATTCAAAATACTCCACCACTTCAATCTTTTACCCCCAACGAGATCGACTCCTACCTGGGCCTCATCAAGTCTGTAAGTACGACCTAGTACATCCTTATTTCGACGACCACACCTCTCTTCGGCCTTTATGGCCTCAGTTGACCGCCAAATACACGCCCTCGCCAATATTTACACCAGACGGATGAAACAAAGCGTGGCGCACAAATCTGGGAGACCGTTTTTTGGGTTGGACGTGAGAGGATCCAGGACAAGTTCGCAAGATGATGCAGAGGATGAATACAGTCTCGACGGGCGTGAAATTTTGAATTTTGGTAAGGATATTATGATTGGTATATGATTTGAGAATTTACATTTGCGCTGGAACAGCTAAGATAGTTTATGGTGAGATATCTTCACTAGTGTGTGCAGAATTGAAGTTACTATGATAATTGTCATGTTTTTTTTGCATCAGATTTTAATTACGTATGCAGCTATCTAGCTATGACACAATATCAAAGAAAAGTACAGAATAGATGATTCAACGTAAAGGAAAAGCACTCATGCCTCAGATTTCATTTGCGAATACCACTGCGAAGTTATGCCGGCTTTTTCTTGACCCCAAGTTAACCCTTATCCGTGAATACCCACCCAGGGGAACATCTCAAAAACCCCGAGTTACCCAGACATGCCTTCATCATCCATCAACTTTTCTCCGCGCGAAATATGATCTGAGATGTCTCCTTCCCAAGTGGAGTAGGTGCTCAGGCTACTCAGACTATACCAGAGAACACCATCAGGAGGCGGACCCCAACACCTTCCATCGTTTGCTTGTTTTTGTAGTGTCAGCTGCACTCGTAATTTTTATGTTACAGATAGAGAGAAACTTGTTCCTTATCCTCTAGCTTGTTCACTTGTGGACTGATCACTTAACAATTATGTAGCGCACCAAAGTATACTCCCAATTCCCAACTGAGCAACTATGCCATTTGTCCTATATCAATAACCCATCTCTCATACTGTACACAATACTACTTGTAATGCCGTGATATAGACACGGAATCTCCATCATGCACCATAATGCCATACTCCCATAATAACTACCTGTGCACCAGCTACTAGATCTATCATATTACATAGCTGAGCATAACAAAGGAGTCTACAAATTTAGCTTTGTGCGTGCCAAGACTTCGATTGCGAGAGTGCAGGCAACACCATAAACACCGCCATGGCTGGTTGGTGCGGTGGTAGATCGTGTTGGCCGGTCTGCCAAGTAGAGTCTGGGTAGCTAGGACACATATCCCACTTGAGACAGGAGATCGCTGGTTCAAATCCGGCAAAACACAACCACATTTCTCGCGGCGCTGTTATGCATGGATGACGAAGGCATGCTTGGATAACCAAAGGGTTTGAAATTCCCTTTGGTGGGTACTAACGGAGGAGGGTTGACTGTTTGTGTAAGCGAACATACCTCGTAGTGGTATTTGCCAATGAAATCCCGAGTATGAGTGTCTCTAACGCCAAATTAGTCATCCAACATGCACACGTAATACCGGTCATGTGTCATAGCTATATAGCTGCATACACATCAAATGATTTAAAAAAAGGGCTTGTGTTCAGTCTTTGTACTTAATTGATGCCTCTCTTAGTTATTTCTAATGCGCCAACCTATCCCTGATAATCATCGATGAAGAACATCATGACTACAGCTTTGACAGCCGTTGGCCTGAATACCATACACTCATGATCATGTTTAAACTGACAAGTTCTAGGCCTCGGCAAGCCCCAGCCTTTAGCTCCAGCTAATACTGCCGGTGATAACTAGAAGAAAATTTCAAGCCAAGTGGCGTTTCATTGTGTGAAATAAGAGGACTTTGAGATTCCATCTGGACAACTTGGACAGCAATATCACGGGCAACGGAATGTAAGCAAGAAGCCGAGCTTGTTTAGTTCCACAGGAAACATCATCCATTGATTCCAATCCTGGAGGCAACAAGTAAACAACTTTGGCTGTTCAAGGATCTATAACCATACCTCTTATGATGGATAAATGTAGAAAAGATGGGCAACTATTGTATATACAGGGGGCTCTGAGAATATGATTTCTGCGCCCATGCGCTGGAAAGCCTCTCAAAGACTCATTTGTCTCGGCGTCTCCGGTGATGACGGACATGCCATTTTATCCAAACAATGAAACTAGATTGAAAGCAGATAGAGATCGCGGTTGCCAAGTCGGTGATGGTCATTATGGCTTACATATGTCAGGGCCGGCCCGGAGGACTATGTCAAAGGAAATTTATTTGAGCCCCGAACGTGCCCAAGTAGTCGTGCGCCGAGGATTTTTTTAAAACTTGAATTTGATATACCGGAGATAAGGGACAAGGATGCATAGCCAACTTTTTGTTCGTGAACTTCATTACGACGCGTATAATAGAGATCCCACGGGGCATCTTCTACCTTGTCACGCGTCCCCATCAGTCCGATATCTAAGTGTTCATTTCCGCCATCCACAACTATGCTTTCTGGTAAATGAGTACTCAGCATCTATCATCGATGTCCTTACGAGTCCCCAGATTTTATTGTAGAGTCAACGGACCCAAGGTAGTGTTAAAAATAAGCCGGGAGGACTTCCATCGCCAATTAGTCTACAATAATCCCAAGTACCAAAGATGGCACGAAAGGATTACACTAGTCTGCTTTGCGGTACACACACTTTGTCGAGACTTTCCAGGCGTTTCAGCATAACCTCTCGTACCCAGGCGCGCACGATTGAAGGAGTTGTGAGGGGCCCAGGAAGGCAAAGAGTAACTCTCTTAGATACATACAAGTTAGTAGCGCCTGGCTTTCCAGTCTCTACGGAAGCTTCAAAAGAGTAGCTACGTCTTTGCATTTAGTCCTTGAGTCGGTATTAGGAGAGCCTCGCACACTGTGGTTATTGCGATTTTCCCCAGCTACAATAAATCTGCCAGTTGCCAGTTGCCAGTTGCCATGGTTTCGTTGGCTGAGGAGAGGAGATATTAAAGGGCAAAGGGCTGCTCTCGGTGCATAATAATATGAGGACTTGTGATGAGTGGTACTCTTTGAGTGTAGCAATCTAGGAGTCATGGAATAAGGTATACTTCTAGTATAAATATCCTATGCAGTTCTAGACTGAGAAAGGACAATATAAAAAAAACTTCACTACAATCATCAATTCGTTCCAACTTGCACTAGTTTGTCAGTTAGAGACCAAATGGACTTTGGAAATTTCTCATTCCTTGCGTACTTTTCCCAAATAGCGCAACTCTTTAATAGACTTTCACTATCGTTCTCATGCCGAAGTCACCCTTACAAAAGTAGACTTAGCTTGCTTTACCCCAAAAATATAAATGGTATGTTTGCAGAAGTGGCTGTATGCCTCAGTATATGCCATTAATGGTGTTAAAGGAACTCATAATCGATTTCTGTGTGCATTCCATGATGCATAAGAGAGGACTAAAAGAGTAGTTAAAGAATTAAGAACCGTGTAGATATTTTTAAAGTTCTATCCGAACAATATCGGCCCATAAATTCTCCGTGCTGATCTAGCTAGGAAAAGTAGGTTTCAATACATTCCACCATCATTACAGAGAGGTGAAGAAGAGGACCTATGGCCCCTGCCCTCTCCTCGATAAGATAGATACATACTATTATACAATCATTATTTGGTCCTGGAAAACCAAACATACACCCAAGGAACAATCAATGTTCTAGTTTAACTTTTAAAAATACTCATTAATATAGAATGTTGTCGGAGTTTAGCCAAGGTCGACATCTCCGTCAGCCATAGCCAATTTCTGCTTTGCTGTCTTCGCTTTCCGACCACTCCCGGCTTTTCGAGGTTTTTTAACCTTGGGTCCACCTTCAGTAGTGCCTGTTAATGCTGTTACACCAGTGGTCTTACTAGACCCTTCATCGAAATGTCCTTCGCCTGGGGCACGTAAGTAATAGTTTATAGGAGGATCAAGTACAGTACCTTCGTGATACAAGTCTTCCAAGCTACCACCAGCGCCTCCATCTGCTTTTCGCTTCTTGCCTTTGGCTTTCTTCTTTTCTGGCTCTTTTACCTCTCGTTCCGCTAACTCTTGTTCTTTTCTCTCAATCTCTGCCGCCTCATCATCATCGACAAGCCACATAGCAATATCTTTCGTGCGATTCTCTTTGCTTCGGGTGTTAAAATCTACACCAGCCCCGCCGGTCATCACTACTTTTTGTACTTCTTCCTTTTGCAATGCTCGCTTTCTTATGCGCTCTTCGATTGTACCACGTGTAATCATTCGATAAACTGTAACTTGCTTAGTTTGTCCAAGACGATGTGCGCGATCCATGGCCTGGGAGTCAATGGTAGGATTCCAATCAGAGTCATAAAATATAACTGTATCAGCTGTTGTTAAGTTAATCCCAAGTCCACCGGCCCGAGTTGAAAGAAGGAATATGAAGATTTCTGGGCGAGTTTGGAAATCGTGAACGGTGTCACGGCGATCCTCAAGCTTTGTAGAGCCATCTAACCGTAGATACTTGTAGTTACGATAAGTCAAATACTCTTCCATGAGATCTATCATGCGTGTCATCTGGAAATATAGGAGCACACGATGGCCACCTTCTTTTAGTTTAAAAAGTAGCTCATCTAGCTTAGCAAGCTTCCCAGAATCTGTTACGAACCGACGCATGGAAGGAACCTGAATATTGGTAAAGCGCTGTTTTTCTGAGACTGGCATGGGGAGCATTTTAGCTGCGGGGTATAAAGAAGGGTGAGTTTTAGAAGTGATCAAACCTCTCTCTTCTATAGGTGATGGACCGAAGATAGCTTTCCTTGTCCTAATGTTGAATAGTAAATCATCTCTCTCGATTATTGTCCCTCGACTAGGACACACGACCTCAATTGGCGGGGCAGTAGCTTTTATTCCGCTACAGTATTCGAGCCGACTTATCCCGGACTCAATCCATGCATCACTGAAAATATTTAGAAGTTTGTGGAGATAGCCCTCATTGGTAGTTTGAGCTAGTTTCCGTTGATCATTTCGTTTTACAATCATGAGCAAAGAATTTGGTGAGGTGAAGCCATCTGACCCCTCATCATCATACACAACCTTAAGAGAGTCTAGCGAGCGACGAGGCGTTTGCGCCAAGGCGATAGCTCTACATAATATGCCGCTACGGGAAGCAGTTGAGGCTTCACCAATCGAAGTGTCCACGAATCTTAGGAACGAGAAGGCTTCCCTATCATTTATACTCTCTCTGATGTTTTCGGGTGCAAATACACTGAATTTTTCGTAGATATATTTCTTAACGAATCCCGCTTTGTAATTATTTTGACCAGGGGCGTCAATACGACCTTCCTGTCGCCAAATTAGCTTTGGAAGTTTGTACTCTATTAAGTTTCGAATGGAGTATTTCATATCAATGCTCAAGCCCTCTCGCATAAGCGATCCACATTGAGCAAAGTATCCGAAAGAGAAAGGGGAAACTGTTTCGGCACGTTCGAAAAGATCCGGATGATTACAAACTTTCCGAAATTGCATTACTAAATTCATCAGGGTTCCAGTGTCGTTGTCATCTCCTATAGTAGCTTTCTCAATTAAATCCATGATACTTATCTGGTTGCGAAGGTTACTGTAGTAAGCTCGTTGGCGATAGGTTAAGTCACAGAAAAGATCGATTTCAATCTTGTCTCCGAGCTCTTTTTGAACATGTTTTTTGACACGACGTAGCATGAATGGCTTTAGTATCATGTGTAACCTTTTTAATTGATCTTCGTTAAGTTTAGTGTTGCTTTGTGCATGGCTTTCAATATCTTTAGAAAACCATTCACTGAATTCGTCATGGGAGTCGAACAAACTTGGCATAATAAAGTGAAGTAATGCCCACAATTCTTGCATATTATTTTGAATGGGTGTACCAGTTAGTAAAAGTCGATTCCGACAGTGGAAGCTAAGTAGGACTTTCCATCGAGAGCTTTGTGAGCTCTTGATAGCTTGAGCTTCATCTAATATCATGTATTGCCATTTCATTTTCTGGAAATAATTAACATCAGATACTACCAGTTGATATGAGGTAACTAGAACATGAAATGGTGCGTCTTGTGTATATGTAATGTGTTTTCGATCCCAGAATTTCCGCAAAACTTTTCGATCAGCTCCTGTCCCCCAATATGGCAGTACCTTGAGTGAAGGAACAAATTTGGTAATCTCTTGCTGCCAGTTATGGAGAGTTGATGCAGGGGCCACAACCAAGAAAGGACCCCAGATACCATGCTTCTCGGCAAGATAGGCCATGACAGAAATTGATTGTACAGTCTTACCGAGACCCATTTCATCGGCGAGGATACCATTGATACCTTGCTCGTAGAGGTTTACTAGCCAATTTAGACCCTTCAACTGGTATTCCTTAAGTTGAGCTTGCAACATCTCCGGCTGTTCAATCTCAATATCGTCCAGCCCAGCCGGATTTTGAAAGTTCATTTCTCCTTCTTCATCCAGGGCCGGAGAATCATCCTGATTGTTGAAAGCTCTTGCCTTACTTTGAGCTTCTTGAATTGCACTTTGGGCATTAGCCATTGCTGCCGCCTTAAGCACAGAGTCGTCGTCGGCATCGAAATCAAGGTCCTCGAAGTTTGTGACTTTGCCCAATGTTGTTATATTCTGGGTGTGAACATCGACAGCTGGTTCACCCTGATGCTTCTGTGCGTTTTCAATTCCAGGAAGATCAGTTGATCGTTCGACCTCATCCGTCTTGATCTTCTTTCCAATAAAATGTGAATACAATTCAGTTTGAGAGATTAAGAAGTTGAGCTTTCTTTTTTGTCGGTTGGCTTCTCTATCAGCCTCTGCTTTTTTCGCATTCTCTATCTCCTGTTTCTCAGCGGCTCGGCGAGTATCACGCTCTTCTCGCTCGTTTCTCTTCCAGAATGATGCCATTTCTCTCATAACACGCTTAGCTCGAGCTTGAAGATCTTTGGTACCTTTATTAGTCCTAAGCTGCCAACGCTTGGCTTCCTTCGAAGCTAGGATAGCGGTTTTCTTTAAGTTAGACACCTTCGTGGTGTATGATTCTCCTGCGAGCTTATGCACTTTATTGACATCTTTTCGCGCCAGGTCCCGCCAAATTTGGTCATATATCTGGTTGTATCCTTTTGAGACGAACGGCTCAAGCTTTGTGGGTAGCTCATCTCGACTAATCTTAAGTCGAAGCTTAGGTTCCTCTTTTATGGGTATAGTGAGCGGTAGCTCTTCCCCAGCATCTATAGCAGCCTGAGCGGCTTCAGCTGAATCTTTTTCGGCTTGCTTCTGCTCCTTTGTCTTCCTTAACCGAGCACCACCTCGCTTTGTTTTTGGTTTAATTGGTTCCTCGGGAGTTAGAAATATCGGAAGCACATTCTCAACTGTGTTTGGCTCAGTACTTGTGCTAACTTGACTATCAGAGACCTTTTTATCGCCTTGCTCTAGGATAATTTTGGTCTGGTGGGCTTTCTTTTCGGCACGCTGGGCCTCCTTGATGAACTTTTGGCGCTCAACTTCGTTCTCGGCTGCCCGAGCTTTTTTGATAGCTATCTCTTTTTGTTCAATATTGGTTGCGACGGTCTTCTCTCGACGACGCTTACGTTGCATATCTTTTTTACGCTCTTTCTCAGCCTGGACCTCCTTTTCCTGTACTATCGTGACAGCAGAGTCAACATGTATTTCTCTGTACCGAAGTTCCCCAAATGCTGCATGCCTCCCTAGTTTTAGAGCCATTTTCTCCGTAAATTCGGAGCGTCGCTTTTTCATCTTTGCAATTTCAGCACTCTCCACCTCGAGCTTTCGCTTTAAATTATTTGCGGTGAAGATATATTTGTCGGAATCAAATTCTTCGAGTTCAATATCGCTTGCCTCTGCATCAATTTTCGTCATGAGAAGTTGAATCTGCTTCTCTTGCTCCTCTAGAATCGGCTTACTTTTCGACGGAGATACTTTGCGCTCACCGTTCACTTTGCGCTTGATGGGTGCTCGGGGATTACTTGAGACTGGAGTTGAAGTGGAAGAGTCAACAGAGTCGCTTTTGCCCGCCTGGTTTCGAGGAGGCTTTTTTTTTACAGCAAAAGTAGGCACACTCGGTTTAGGTGTTGGGTCTGCACTTGATAAAATACTCGAAAATGCCATAGGATCTGCGAGTCTGCCAGCTGACTAAATATAATATATTTTAGCATTTATTTTCGGTAGTTTAATCAATTTGACTTACGGCCGTGGAAGATATCTCGACATCTGCTCCTGTCAATCCTAAACCACTAAGTGGAATCGTGGGTGAAGTAACAGTAGCCATGAGGGGAGACTGTGATCTAGATGGGTGGCGGACAGGCGAATATGAGTTAGAATGAGATGATTGAGGAAGTAAGCTAAATTGTACCGGTTGTGGTGGTGTTGGCGTGGTCAGCACTGTAGAGGTTGCGTAAGTCGAGTTGTGGTATTTGGCTGGAGTGACAGTAGTTGAATAAATATGTGGCACGCGGATCTTGCAGGGAAAAAGGTCAGTGAGTAACCGTTATATCTTTAGACGCATCTCCCCTACCTGAGAACTGGGATTTTTCCTTTCCGTCCATAAAGCAGCTTCTGTTGGCTGTTTTTCCCTCGCATCGGTTGTGGGATCGTAATAATGCCGTGATGAAACTTGATATTCGCCTTGATGAGTGGGAGGAATTGTTGATGTGCGCGACAATGACTGAGTTGGAGGGATGCGTGATGTTGGTGGCATCGATAACCCAGATGGCGTGGATGTATGATAGTGCTGGTTTGATTTTGGGTTTCCATTCGTGGTAGAGGACGGGGGTTGAACATCTGCTTGGTACTGTGGACGAGCGTTATATGGTCGAGTGTTTGGGCTGATAGCCCCGTTCATCCTGTCTTGCAGTGCACCGTCCGCGTCCCCCAAATCAGTCGAACGCTGCATCAAGGCTGAGGGATATTTTGAATCCATGGCAATAAAAATTAGAATGAAAGTAAAGACTTTCGTGACTTATGAGTCCATAAAAGAGCTACTCAAGCCATTCAGCGCAAAGAGAGAAAAATATTGCTTGCCAAATGAAGTTAAGAGATCAGCTATACTATGTTGAATCGTAGTTTTGAAGTTGGATGAGGGCAGGAGAGAAGTAAGAAATTCAGTAGCACTCGCCGTTAGGATTTAAAAGAAGTGTCGGGATACGATCCAGAAATAAGCAGCTAACATTAAGCAGTTGTTTGCCGAATTCGCTGGGTGGGAATTTTTTCGGTTTTTGATGGCAGGACCGATTCGCCGGTGGCGTTATCACGATTTGGAGAAAATAGGTATTTGAATGTGGATACAAAATGTTATGTTTGCTGTAATTCAATTCCATGAGATAGCACAGGCCGAGTTTGACCAGAGTATGAGGTTCAATGGAGAGGAAATGAAAGAAAAGCTTAGGATGACCATGTGAGTAATGGGGACGAGGCGTGATACGAAGGGCTGTGGAAACGGGGTCATGTTCCCGTCGCTGTAGGCCCCCGTGCCTTTCAATCTTGTGTGTCAATTATACTCCGTTTCGTCTGCTTTCAATCCCTCGCTCATCGCAAATAATAATTTAACACTACGATCCCGGTATGACGGATCCTCGACCAGGGTCCCAGCATAAACCCCACAACTTTACATAACATACACACAAAACATGCACATAGCATTAATGCAGCATGGGCCAGGCTGGTCGGTAAGCATCTTTTTTGTGCTTGATCCAGCGCTGATAATTTGGTTAATCTATTCTGCATCTTCCGGCGTACGATCGCAAGCGGTATTCATTCCAACAAAAATTTTCCATCCATACCTTATATTCCATCGTCAGATTCTTGGACTACTTAGCCATTACTTCCGATTCCTTTGGAGAGTTAGAGAATTCGTTTCTGAAAATATTAAACATGAGATTCTCGTCTCAAAGAGACTACCCCGGAAGCTTGGTAACCTACCCAGTAGATACAAATATTCGGTATCACTGTACTGTTGATGTGTCAGGCAGAGCTCCCTAGAGATTTGGTCCTATTACAGTTATAGTACTAGTTTTAAATTGTCACTGGCGGGCTGATAACTTAAGAGAAGTCCTGAGCAACCTCCTTTCTCCTCGCTTAGCGTATCACCGACAGGCTACTTCATGCTATTCTGAATCCATAAATGCTAAGCCCTTGTAGATAGAACTGTTTTCTCATCTAATATCGCTCGAACATCATGAGCCTGTCCCTTAGATTCAAGAAAGTCTCTTGCATGGATTAGTGATACATAGTGGTGTCGCCGTGCAGATCATCACAGCCCTCGCCATACTAAAGCAAAAAGTCCAATAGCCTTGGTCAATAATTTGTATTGCAGAACTGACGCCTCTATTTCCTTCCATGACTGGCAACAGTCCAATCACGACTGTTGTCTCTATCAAGATACTGTAGTTTTCTCCGTGAAAACTAGCTACGAGCTACATAATAACCTTGTAAAGGTAGCTGCATAAGTAACTGGAGCGGTAGGAAATAAAATCATGGAGACACTAAACTAAGACAATGCAAACTATACTGCACCGGCCGCCATCATCTTCTTCCGTAAGTGGTTCTTGTAATCCCCTGAAACACGTTAGCGTCAGAACTGTAGTCAAAAGTATTGTTGTGCAAGTTTAATTCCATGGAAACCAATTGGAGTCAAAAATAATGGTTTGTTAGATATGGAATTAGGGTTATCATACCAATTGTTCCAGGCCATCTGCGGATGGTTTGATTTTCGCATACCATTATATCTTTCGCAATCTTATCTAACAGTCTGAAATCGTGAGAGACGACGACAACTCCTATTCCGTAAATTAGCACACGTTACATGATACCTTGCTGTTGATTTTGCGAGTAAACTCTTTAACCTACCACCTGTGAACGCATTTATTGCATCCGCTAACGAATCGATTGTAGGAATATCAAGGCCGTTAGTAGGCTCGTCCAGTAAAAGCATATTGGGTCCATCTATGGCCAAAAGCGCAAACACAATTCTAGACTTCTGACCTTCAGATAAAGTTCCCATGAGAGCAGTCTGTGAATCTCCACTAAGTCCGTACTTTCCGAGTTGTTGCCGCCAATATTGGTAATCCTGACTCTTTTCGGAGTACTTATCTCGGACAAAGTCAAGGGCAGATTTGGTAAGGTCAAGCTGTTCGGACGAATGCTGAGAGTAGACACCCATTTTAAGATGTGTATGACGGGATACAGTGCCGCCAGTTGGTGATAGCTTTCCTGTCATAAGACGAAGCAACGTAGACTTTCCGACACCATTCGGGCCAACTAGAGCTGTCCTAGAATCCATATCCACACCCAGGTCTAGGTGTCGGTATAGATCATCCTTAGAATCACCTGAGTATGAAAACGTTACATCATCAAATGACAAGACCGGTGGGGGAAGTTTCTCGACATCAGCAAACCTGAATGTAAAGACACGATCCTCTTCAACCTTCTGGATGAACCCATCTGCTTCCATTTTGTCCAATATTTTTTGTCGTGATTTGGCTTGCCTGACCAAGTTAGCGTAAGTTCCGGCAGAAGCGATAAATTTCTTGATGTGAACAATTTCATCTTGTTGCTTTTGATATGCTTTCATCTGGTTGACTTCTTGTTCAGCGCGAGTTTTATGGTAAGAGTCATAATTTCCACCATAGTAGATGAGCTGCTTGTGACGCATGTCGATCATATTGGAGCACACTCCATTGAGAAAGTCCATTGAGTGGGACACTAGAACAAGAGTCCGATCCCACTTCTTAAGATATTCTTCTAGCCAGACACACGCTTCCAAATCTAAGTGTGCAGTTGGATCATCAAGGAGAAGAAGAGATGGCTTGACAAATAGAGCTTTAGCTAAAGCTACGCGCATACGCCATCCACCTGACATGTCTTTGGTCTTTTTAGTAATCGTCTTTTTGTTAAAACCAAGACCAGTGAGAATAAGAGATGCTCGAGTGGAGAAAGTTGATGGATCCATTGTTTCCATACGCTACCACTTATTAACGAATTTTAATTGATGACAATTTCATTTTACATACCTCGTATATATCCATGAGAAGTGGACTTTCTGGGCCCTCGTCTTCGAGAATTTGTTCGGCCTGTTTATCAAGTCTTTCCAGTTCATTTTCAGCCTCTTTTACGACCCATTCTAATGCACCTAGTTCACCCGGAGGAGCTCCTTCATTCAGAAGATAAATGTCAACGTGTTCAGGTATAGGAAACTCTCGTTTGTCAATAGCTTTCAGTAGCGTAGACTTGCCACAACCGTTCTCTCCGAGAAGACCATACCTTCGACCGTATGTAAGCTCCATGATAGTATCTGTAATAAGAACACGACCATGGAATACTAAAGAGACAGATGTTATCTTGACATCTCTACTTTGCTTAAGAGAGCTTAGGACGCCCGTAGTAACCCGATCAGAGAGCCCATGTTTATCCATTTGATCAGCCAGTCGTTTGACTTCATCCATTTTCTTAGAGGTGGCTGCAGATTGTTCGTCATCAGGAAGAGGGTTTCCATCGGCGTCCAAGGTTGGTGAAATTTTGGATTTCGATTTTGAAGCAAGTGTTTTTTTTGGTGCTTTTCCTTCGGCAGCTCTCTTGGCCTCACGGGCGGCTTTGGATGCGGAAACCATCGCGTTGTCTCGTAAATGTGTTAAGTAAGTTAGTTGTGAAGTTTTTGGATAGAAATCCTCCTATCGTAGTGGGGGGGTAGCTAAGAGATTTTCTTAGTGGGGTTGCGTTTTACAGGGACAAAGGAGCGAAATATACACCACTATTCTCAATCATGTAAAGAAACTCGTGTGACGGGTAATGACAAGGACTAGGAGAGCCCGTAAACTTCTGAATAAATCAATAGCGCCAGACTATTGCTAGGTGAGCGATATTGTGCAAGAATCAGAACAGATAACAAAGCGTACCGATACCACCAATTAAAAAATACTCGCTTAGCGTGGTTTTTGCTCAGTGTAATCCCTAACTACAGAAGCGAGTGAACTAATCCACATTTTCCAACTAACCTTCTAGTCCTTTATTTCGCAATCTTAGACACGTGCCTCTGACTAAACTAAGCCACGTAGTCCCAGTATTCATCTTTTTCGAACTTGTTCGTACTCTGCTACGAATCCCTAGTTTACTGCCTCTGATTGTTGAAAGCGTGAGTAGAAGCCTCTCTATTATAAAGAATGGTTTCTATGTTTTTCTTTTAAATCCATTTACATCCTCTATAAGTCTAAGACTATTGTAGGATGTGCACGCCATCAAGACTGCATATTCTAATACCTGCTGCATACAAGGTTATCCAATATTTATTAATCCAGTCTTCTGCATGTAGATAGTTTGAGTGCTCTAGACTCTTGTTGATTTCTACGTTAATAGCCTCATACATATAGTTGACAGTACTAACTGGTACCGCTGCAAACTTCACTGCAGTATATTCCTCTCCATCAGGAATGTGAGCTCTCCATTGGGGAATCTTATGAAACTCTGTCTACTCAGCTGTAACAGAAAAATATCGTTCCAACGAAACAGAACGACGGATCCAGTCTAACCTTTCAGATAACAAACTACAAATAATATCGGTTTGTGTGACCGAACTAAAGTTATTTGAATCAATTTTTACTTGCTACTAAATATATTCTGCCAGAATTGACGACGTAGAGAACTAGTTCTAGGATATGGTCAGCCCGAGAGATAGCTTATCCAACTAAAGCAATCTACTGTTCCATCTTTACAGATTTCATTTAATAAATGGCAAATCAACTGTCGGTAAAAAGAAAACTGAATACACACAAAGAGCTGTACCCTGCGAACTTCCAGCTGTCACTATCTGGTTTAAAGTATAGAGATTGGGCCTAATATCAGCCGGCAGAGTATCTATTTCCATATGGTCTATTGCCTTCAACGGTACTCATGACAACAATCTTTAGGAAGTTTAGGCTATTTTGCAGCACGCGCATACTTTCGAGAATTCTACGTGATTTAAATGCAAACTATAATTAGTCCCGAGTTGTAAATAATGGAAGTAGTTGGCTTGGATTTGACCGAGCTGTATATCTAAGTCCCTACTGTCACGAAATGGAGTCGTGATTGATCAATCAAACGAAGTTATCGAAGTCTATTCTGACTCTCTAAAATGATAATAACATAAGTACTAAACACGACGCGGTCGCCAAGGATTTATGATACGTGGATTTTTTACAAAGGGGGGCTTAGCGTCTCCTAAGATCAACATGAAATGTGGAACCCCTAAGTACTGTGTAGGGAATTCACACCCTTGGGCACGTAACATCACCTCCCTCCTCCGCGGTGAAGGTGTGCATACAATTAAAATTATATTGTTATTTTTTTATTTTGTAGAGATGGCTTCTTTTTACCTCTAGAACCAGTGTAACTGCCTGTGTTGGGATCTCCAACGTTGTCTCCGTCACCGTATTGCTCGATGAAGCTTTTGAAAGCGTCAGTGAGGATAAGATTTTCTCGAGGTTCCCAGGAGGTTTCCTTGTAATCTTTATATTTGACGCAGACAAATCTTTTTCCTCGAAATGATTCAGCCCTGAGAACTTTTTCTACAGCATATAACGGGTGCTTTCCGTCAAGAAGAGGTGGAGGTTGACTATCATCAGTAACTTGGGAGGGTAGTGGATCATCAGAGTCTCGACGGAGTAAGTCCACAAAGAATTTGGGGTGAATATTACTTGGCACATCTAGTTCGTAGACATCAGGGCCTATCTCCCGCGTTATTTTATATTTGGCATTTATCCAAGACAATTCTTTCTTGAGCTGCGGGGTGGTGACATTTCTCAAATTCAACCATACTTTATCTCCCACTTTTAGCTTTTCAGCTGGTCTTCGTCCCTTGTTAGCATTGTGCTCCATGATTTGCTGTGCTGTTGCCATTGCAGCTCTTGCAAGTTCTTGACCTTAGTGTAGACGATTTATGAAGGCATAAGCTCTTGCTTTTGGGGTTATACCTGAGCTGGATGGTGAGTAGCGTCGTTTTATAGGCTCGAGATGATAACCGTGAGTCAAAAAAAATGGACTGAAGCCGGTTCGTGAGCTAGTCATATTATTTATAGCAACCATTGCGGACGGGAGTAGTGTCGCCCATTCATTTTGGGCATAAGAGATGTAAGCTCTCAAGTAGGTTTGCACTTCTTGATTCATTCTCTCGGTACTTCCATCTGTTTGAGGATGAAATGCTGTTGACAATCGTTGTTGGATACCTACACACTGACAAAGCTTTTTCCAGAAGTGACCGACCCAGTTAGAGCCTCTATCTGATGTTAGAGAGTTTGGAAAACCATGGTAACGCCAGTGGCTTAGAACAAAATTTTCCGCACAAGCCTCCGCTTCCATTGTTTCCATAGCCTCCAATGTAGCACTACCGAGAAGCCGATCGTATATGACCATCAGGAATCTTTCTTTTCTATTTGTTGACGGTAAATCGGTCATGAAGTCTATGGCCAATTCGCTGTGGAATCGTTCTGGTACTGGCAGTGGCCGTAGCAAGCCCCTGGATGACTGTCGCCAAACTTTAGATCTTCCGTAGACGTGGCAATTTCTCTCAAACCTTCGAACATCTTTATATTGCTGAGGCCAAAAAAAACTCCGTAAAAGTATGGAAAGTGTTATTTCCCGTCCTGGATGACCTGTCATATGGGAATCATGTAATTTCTGGATTAAGGTAGTGCGAAGAGGATCCCAATTTGGGATCCACAATGCTCCTCGATAAGCTGAAGCATGTTTCTCGTCAAAGGAACAGTCTGTCATTTGCACTGAGGTTCCAATAGAGTGCGGTAGTGCACGATCGCCTCTTTCGAAGCTTTTATAAACATCAAGAGAAGAAGGATCCTTTTCTATTCCTTTGTTCCAGAGTTTTTGTATTTCAAGTTCTTCGAATAATTGGCCACCTTTTGGTGGACCGGTGGGGGGATGGAGAGACTAGGCGATTGGTCGATAGGTTTGGATAGGGCTTCAAATTTTGGTGCTTCTGGTGGTCTGGCTTGTTGCCTAGTGACTACTGCTGAGAGGCCTAGAGAGGATAATAGCTCCTCTTTTTCATTTTTCGGCGATAACCAACTGTTTTTTAAAAGTTGGAATTCCCTATTTTGAAAAACTTTATCGCTTAAATCTTTAGGTTTAAATTCGGCCTTTCTAGAAAGAAGATCGGGCTTTGCTGAATTAGAACCGGGTCTGAATTTTATTTTGAAGTCAAAGCCCGCAAGCTCTTCTTCCCATCGAACTTGGCGTTCTGAAAGCTGACGTGTTGTCATAAAATACTGTAGGTTGCGATGATCAGAGAGAACGACAAAAGGCTTACTAACACTCCTGAGCTCCCCTCTAAAGTGCCTCATGGTGGCAATGATAGATAACATTTCTTTGTCGTAGATTTCATAGTTAGCCTCTGCGGGCGACAACTTTCTAGAGAAGAAGCCTACGGGTCGAAGGCGGCTTTTCTCATCCACCTGTGACAAGACTCCTCCGACAGCATAACCTGAGGAGTCCGCTTCCAATATAGTTTCGGCTTCTGGGTCAAACATTGTGAGAACTGGTGCGCTTGTTAGTAGTTCTTTGAGCCGCTCAAACGCATCCTTTTGCGGTTTGTTCCATTGCCAAATTACGCCCCGTTTAGTAAGGTTATTCAATGGTTCGCATATAGAGGAAAAACGAGGAATGAATTCTCGGTAAAAATTGGAGAATCCAAGAAATGAGCGCACCTCTGAGACGCTTTTTGGCTCCTCCCATTCAGAAATTGCCAGCACTTTGTCGGGGTCTACCTTAACACCAACCCTGGCCTCAATGATGAAGCCTAAGTATTTTATTTTTGTCACGCCGAAAGCACATTTTTCTAGGTCTAGCCGTAAGCCCGCTTTATTTAGCGCATTCAATACTTTAGATACTTTCTCGTAATGATCTTCTAAGTCTCCTTCCGAATAGATTATGAAATCGTCGACATACGCAGAGCAAAAAAGGTCTAGATATTCTCGTAGGGTGCTATTAATGAAACGCTGGAATGTTGCTGGCGCTCCACATGATCAAAATGGGCAGACGAGCCATTCAAATAGGCTCTGCCGCGAGCGGAAAGCAGTTTTCCATTCGTCCCCTTCTTTGATACGTAGACGGTGGAAGGCAGTACGAACGTCTACTTTAGTAAACCAACGGGCTTTAGTTAATTGCCGTAATGTCTCTCGAATTAGTGGTAGCGGGTAGCGATCTTTTTTCGTTATCGCGTTCAGGCCACGATAGTCCACACAAAAACGTAAACCACCTCCTGGTTTTCTTGCGAAGAGCATGGGTGAGCTGGCTGGTGAAGAGCTTGCTCGTATCCAACCTTTGTCGAGGAGGTCAGCGAGAGTTTTCCGGAGGACTAGCAGTTCTTCTCTTGATATTTCGTAAAGAGGCCCGTAAGGCGGCCTTTTCTCATTCTCATTTTCATCTTTTTCCAAATTTATTTCCATGTCATCTCAAGGATGAGGGTTTGATAGTGTTCCACGGGGTGCGTTGTATAGCCTAGTGAAGATCTAGGTGGTAAGTGAAGGTTATAAATGGGTCAAAGGAATGACAGGTCTTCTCTAGGAAGAGATGGATGGGCAACTAGTTGCAGTAGGTGTTACACGTGGGTCTTGCTGATGAA